TCGCGATTACTCGCGCTATAGCAAGGGGTGTGGCGTCACACAGGCATTGTAAACACATGTATCCAGATGATGGCCTGTTTTTAAGATAAAGTCGTCTTTTGTGACTGAGTGAGATGTTTTACAGTTCTTCTTGTGAATAGAGAAATAACTACAAATGTTTCTTAAAGCGTCCGAAAACCCATAACACAGGGATACATATTAAAATGATTAATGGTGCTGAGATCAGGATTGTTGGAGATAAAACTTTAATTTGACATTCATTTCTCTTGTTCACTGTAATCATTTATTGGTTTCATTCATCAAGTTTTATACATTTAAATCTTTTTACTTTTTTTTTGTTGACGAGCAACCCAGACATGGTAATGGCCATTAATAGTACACTAGTGTGATCTTCAGGGTACAGGCATGTTTAAATAAGTGAAGTTGTGATTTGCTGTCATATCAGTAAGTGAGTGAGTGAGAATGGTTTTATGCCGCTTTTAGCAATATTCCAGCAATATCACGGCGGGGGAGACCAGAAATGGGCTTCACTCATTGTACCCATGTCGGGAATCGAACCTGGATCTTCAGCGTGACGAGCGAACGCTTTAACCACTAGGCTACCCGACCGCCCCTCATATCAGTAATAAACACATAACAATTAATTAACAGGTAATTATAGTTAATGAGTAACCATGGTGACACATATGTATGCATGTGGCATGACCATTGTGTCATATTTTACTCCCCTAAAGATGCGGGTTAGAATTTGTCTTCAGCAACCCATGCTTGTCATAAGAGGCGACTAACAGGGTGAGGTGGTCAGGCTCGGTGACTTGGTTGATGCATGTCATTGTATCCCAAATGTGTAGATCGATGCTAATGATGTCAATCACTGGGTTATCTGGTCCAGATTTACAAACCGCCGTCATATAGCTGTAATATTGGTGAGTACAGCCTTTAAAACCCAAAACAAGAGACAATGAACTCCATGTTTTTTACCGTATAACCTACATTTTGTAGGAATATTGAATATTCATGACAAAACCCTCTGACTACTTGTTCCTTTTCTTAAATTCTTTTCAGTCTGATTGTTTAGGTTGAACATATTAAGCTATTTATCTTCATGTTTGCACAGTTAACAATGCAAAGAAGGACCACCTGTTCCTCTGAATGTTAAATGAAATCACACAGGGAGATTTGTGAAAATAAGCATGATAAGCTGGTATGAGAGAGGTTTAGATACATCTTCTTTAAGAAGGGAATGTTTTGTTAAGAGCGTATTATGATGAAGTAACAGACGTAGTGCTCCCAAATTATACCCAGATCAGTGAGACCTTGAGGACAGGCTTGTCTCCACAGTTGGGTGCATGTGTCTATGTCTTCACTGACACTGGACATTCAGGGTGGTTGTAAGAGGTGACTTAATGGATCGTGAGGTCAGGCTCGGTGACTTGTTTGTGGGCGGCATAATATCAATCACTGGTTTGTCCAGTCCATACATGAGTGTCCTATGTCCTATTCAAAAGAAGTTAAGGACCACCAATTCTTCCATATTACTATGGTTGATCTGTCATGCCATTCTATTGAGTATTAGACCCGTGAAGATTCCGGGGTAGAATAGGTCTTCAGCAACCCATTCTTGCCGTAAAAGGCGACTAACGGGATCGGGTGGTCAGGCTCACTGACTTGGTTGATACATGTCATCAATTCCAATTGCGTGGATCGATGTTCATGATATTAATCACTGGATTGTCTGGTCCAGACTCGATTATTCACAGACTGCTGTCATATAGCTGGAATATTGCTGAGTGCGGCGTGAAACAACAAACCAACCAACCAACCAACTATTGGGTATCATACCTGGAATTATGCTCAGGTGTTTAACAACAAACAAAGGTCATTGTCTAACACATGTCATTGTAGCTACCTGTGCTGGTTCTACTGTAGATTACAATCTCTACCTGTGTTTAATAAGGATGTCATCATATTTAAGAAATAAAGTTAGCTCACCCATGTGCATGACGTGTAGTGTAATAAATTTTAGTTTTGCCCTGAGCTATTACAGTTAAAGCACCAGGACGCTTACGTCCAAGTGCTTTGATGTTGTGACTCTGTTATGGGGGTAGAGAAAACTTACTTTTCTCAGATAAGACTAACTTTGTGTTTTACTGGACTTGGTTTTAAATGAAATCTCTTGTAACCTGTGGCGTAAATTGAAAATCCTCAAACAGGGCTAACTGAAGGGCTCTTCCAACTAATTGCCTGCATCCTTGTTAAGAGACATATTTACGTTTTGAACATAATTATGATAATACAACAGCACTAACATGGGTAGTTTATTATTTCAATAGGTCGTATTTCATTATCATATTAACGCAACCCCAGCTATGTTCATATTTAGCATTAAATTAATTAATTTCTAGTCTACATAGATAATTTGTGTCAATACACATACATAATAATTCAATTTGTCATTAATCGATATAACGTGATACTTTTGAGTTGATGTAACAATCCTAAAATCTCCAATCAGTGACACCTGTAGTGTTTACATTGGATTTCACTGCCATCATGATCTTCTTGTAGATTCTAATGATCTGTAGTAACTGTAGATCACTGTGTGAGTAGGGTTTAATGCCTCTTTGAATAGTATTGAAGTAGTTGTAGACCCAGGTTTGGTTTCCAGGTTTGGTTGCTGGAATATTGCTAAGTGGTGACATGGTTTGTTAATACAGCGGTGGAAAATAACAGTTTTAGTCCACTACTCCTTGTAATAACCTATAGCAAAACCCTTAAAAATGGTAAATTTCTATTAGTCCTTATGATACCTTAACTATTGGGCAGTTTCGCTAGGACTATGGGACTGGTGCCAATTTATAGCGCTGATATAGTAGTACATTGCCAATATTGGATCAAATTTAAAGCCAGAAATGTTTACCTGTTTGCAAAGAATATGTCTTGTTTCAAGCTGTAACAGAGCTGAGAGATAAAGGTTTTTTGTCATTGTCTAGATATTTTGACTGTGTAAAGCACACATAAAATCTGTCTGGATACTCGTGTAAGCCGATGTTAACTTAACTTACCTCATTCATCTGTCATCTCTAGTATGTTGGTCGAACTGATGGAGGGTGCTGCAATTCCTTGTGAAGAGTTACGTCCCTTGACAGCTCCAGGATATGTTGGTTAAACATCTCCTGTCTGTATCACTTTAGGCTTTACACAAAGCTTTGGCTGACATGCCATACCATGAAATGATGTTAATGAATTAGTTTATAAAAGCATTACATCCAACTCAAAGAATGTCTGTTGATGTGGGCGTACACAAAGTGTTCAAGATTGCAGTGTGGTGTTGACTAGTGCTGTTCATGATCATGTTTATCAGGGTAAAAGTCAGCTTGATTTGTATGAACTGTGGTCCATGAGCTGGACATGCTTGCTGTATATTGGGTTGCCATTTTCTACCAGTTCAAGAGAGCCGGAAGAAGCTACAGTACAACTATCTGAGACTATTCCTCACTCTTCACCATGACAACCATTTGTAACAGTATCAGAGCTCCAGATAACTTTTTGAGCAACTTTTAATCGAAGGTTTCTATTTTAATTGGGTTATTACACTTTTCATTGGGTATCCAATATTTTTTCACTCATCTATTCATCACTCTATTGGGTTTTTCCCAGAATGAGTAAGCATTTTGAGATTTAAAAAAAAATGTAATAATGTTTTAGATGTGCCGGTATATAACAGTTCTAAATATAGGCTTGACTTGGAAAGTAAATTAGCTCGTAATTGTGTTTCGGAAATTAGCTCCTTTTTACGCATGCTGAAAAAGCTTCATTGGGTATTTACGCATGCTGTTTTCAAACAATTGAGTCTTTCATTTAATGCATGCGTTTCTGTATGTAAGTTAACTGAAAATAACTGGGTTTGGAATAGTTTTGGGGGGTATTTTACGTAAATGAGCAGCTTTTCTGAAGCCCTGCACTGTACATGATATAAAATTTGTATCCCTCTCTTGTGAACTCTGGTTAGAATTGGTCCCCAGCACTCTGTTGTTTGTTGAGGCTGTGACTTGGCTAATTCTGTGTCATCATACACCAACGATCTGTGACATTGCTCATTATTTCAGTCACTGGTTTGTCTGGCCCAGTTTTACTGTTATTATGTGGGCTATTATTAGCTGAGCTAACTTGATGGAAGAGGATCTTGCTAGACTGAGGCTTCAGACCAGTGGCTAATGTTACAGACTGTTGTGTGATGAAGACAGTGCTGAAGGTTGTTGAGGCTGAGTAGAGGCACTGTACTCGACGACATAGGACATTGCTCATTATATTCCTTTCCATGGTTACTGTTTTTTCTGGTCCACAATCAATTATTTACAGGATACTATGATGGGAATATTGCTGACTGTAACTCAAAGCAACAAACAAATAAAAAAAATTTTAATTCCCTGTTCATTTGTATCCATGGGAACACTGTTCAATAATTAATTGTAATCAGTAAATATTGATCTGCAGGAATCTTAATTAGTATTTAACATTCATAAAGTAGACTTGCATGATTTATATCGTTCAGGTTTTTAATTCCATTTTTATCATGTAAATTGCAAGTCAGAACATTATTCAGTGTTATCTAACAATTGCAAAGCTACTTGCACAATACACATGCCATGCTATAGGCCTATAGCCTGCCATTCAGGAAATAAATGCAATTGTTTTCTCCATAGCATTGTACAAAGCTCCGATATACAGATGATACCAAGGCAAGGCTTATCACTTATGCGCTTATATAGATAAGCCAAGTTCAGGGGGCAGTCAGCCTGTATCAAGTGGGGATCAGAAGCAATGTTAAAAATATAAACTGTATACTTTTTGTCGAGCACTTTCTCTTTAACCCCTTGACGTTGTATTATGTGTAATTCTCTAGGGAATAAATAGCTATTATAGTGAGCGTGTATCCAGTTGGGGCTCCAGCTATCATTGAAATAAATAGGTGTAGGATTAAGCCGGCAGTTGAACTTGATACACTAGTATGTGGGCTGTCTCTACCATGGTGATCACTGATCTCGCTGCTGACGGGAGACTTCTTCGGTCCGAAGATTGTGTTTGAATAGAATGTGGATTAATCAAGATTTGTTTGTGGTCTGATGTTGCAAGATGCCCAAGAAGAGTGTTCCTCCGTTTCACAATTTTAGTCCTTGTTACTCTCCTCGCCCGGCGCCACCAAGACCTAAGTTGTTTAAAGAACAGCGTCTAGAGCTGTGGGATATTATTAATGCTGGAAAACGAGGTATTTCTTTAAATGAGTTGAATTCATTTATCAGTTTGTCATCTTTTCAAATTCAGGGTTGTAATTATATGAAACTAAAAAGAAGTTAAAGAACACAATTTTTTTATACAACTACAGTTGATCTGTCATGACAGATTTTTTCATGTGACTATAGTTGTGGCATGACGGATTAACTATACTTGGAATTAAATCTCATCAGTTTATTTGTAACTTTATTTGCTTAAACGCGCTTTTGCACTTTTAGGGGGAAATTCTTCATGCATTTTTGGGAGGCATGGTTTACCCCGCGGTGCATCCGGAGTAGCGGTACATCGAGGAGCGTTAAGTCGAGGGACCACTGTAGTTATATGAAAGATGTGAAAGAATTAGGTGTTCTTTAACCATTGTTAACTTCTTTTAAGTAGTATATATATAGAGAGAGATAGAGAGATGTATACTGACCCAGACTTGGCTCTCAGCATCATTATCAGCATCTTCCCGTTGAAATCCATGTTGTTTTCGAACCAGATGTCTAGTTCGTTACACGATTTTGATTAGACTATGCATAGACTTGTTAGTGCAGCCAAAATGTAACTCTGGAATTCCGTACTAGTTCGGCAAGGGTGAAAACTGGACTTTTTTAGTCAGTTCTCCCATGCCCCAGGAAGATGCATTTTCAGGCGATTTTTGTGTTGTTATTTGGACTATAACGAGACTGAAAAGAATTTTGCAAGACTAGGGTTCGGTCCGGTAGCTGATGTCTGAGAATGCTGCATGATTGGAACAGCGATACAAGTATTTTGACTTGACATTTCTTGGGGTTATTATGGAGGGGTTTTAACAGGGGTTGTTTTTATCCTGTTGTGTTTCAGTCACTGATTAGCTGTTGGTACCAGGATTACCTCTCCTTGTTGGATGACAATACTAGGTTGCTGTTGTTTTGATGTATATAATTTGTTTTGAATCATTACGTCTATAACATGATTTTGCATTATCATGATTATGTTATAGTTTATGAGCATGATAAGTGCAGTGTGTGAAAAATGTATAGAAAATGCTTTTTTGGAAAGTGTCATTAAATTTCATTGAACATGGTAACTGTTTATTTAAGATATATTTCCAAGATTGTTTTGAAAGGAGACAAATTCAGAAGATAGCTTTGAAGCCTGCTCAATCCATTATTAGTGCTGACATTTCAGTTATAGTGAGTGAGTGAGTGAGTATGGTTTAACACCGCTTTTAGCAATATTCCAGCAATATAACGGCGGGGGACACAAGAAATGGGCTTTACACATTGTACCCATGTCAGGAATCAAACCCGGGTCTTTGGCGTGACCGCCCCCATTTCAGTTATAAGCTGTCACTATCATTCAGTAATAGATTGTCACAATCGTACTTATTGTTTGTGACTTCTATGTGGTGTCAGGGCTGATGATTTAATCCTGACAAGCGGGAATCTATGACAGTATGTGTAGGGCATTACGCAGGACTGCATAGTTAGAGATATTCTACCCCTAGAGCGGACACGTTACACCCCTCTCACATCATGCAATGTGTGGTGGGCCCTTCATGCAGGACGTCACTTGTGAAGTCACACCAATATTCTTGTTCTCATGGAGAGCACAGGCGTCTACAGCGCCGCAATTTGCTGGACAGAGTTGCATCCCTTGGTTATGAGTAATGACCGGAATCTATAGTTGTGGATTAGAATCACTTTTCGCCCTGATTATGTTTCAGCACCAAACCTGTTCAAAGCGGTGATAAACCCAACTCACTAGTTCTAGCGTGAGATGGGATTTCATTGGGCCTTTTTTGCATTTTGGGCCTTTTATGTTTTATCCTACTTGGGCCTTACTTAATGAATTCGTTTATGAAGCAGTGATTTTGCTGGAGATAAATGTCATAACAACAGATTATGATTTAGCAAATATTGATAGGCTATACCATCACCAAAATTGAACAATGTGTTTAGAACATTTTGGAAACAATGAGTCAGCATCCTGGAAAATTAACCGATGTGAAACCCTGTGAAGTCCACACAAACAGACATCACCAAGTTGACTGCTGTGTGGTAGACACAGAGTGAGATGTGTAAGATATCTTAGCATATATTATATTCATACTGTTTAAATGTCTTCAGACGTGTTAGACAACTGTTTCAGTGAAGACACCATTGATTATTACCAACTTGCTAACACTAAGCAATAGAAATTGGCACTAGTCTTATAGTTCTTGCCAACTGCCTAATAGTTGAGGTATCAGGAGGACTAATAGAAATTTGCCATTTTTAAGAGGTTTGCTATAGGTTATCATTATGAGGACAAGTGGACTGAACATGTTAGTTTCGACCGCTGACACTCATACCGGTCATTTGTAATCCATGCGCTGATCATGCTGATGCCTGCTTTCAGCTCTCCATTAAGAGAGAGTGGTGAAGAGGAGATTTAATATACTGGCGCTTGAAAAGATGGGTTTTGAGAGCTGATAATAATCACTCATACATTGTCTAGAGGGTGTCGTAAGCAGGATGTTGTAGGTAGGAATGTGGAGTGTCACAGTCCACTGAATTATTGACAGCTTGGAGAGATCTGTTGTCAAGTTGTCAGTGGAGATACATATCAATTATTTATCAGCTCTTTAACAAACGTCACTGCTACACATGGTATCCTGTCTTCATCCATGTTTACAAACAGCCTGGCGAGACCTCCCGTCTGTTAACATCCGATGATCATTAATATCTGTAATATGTAATCAGTGCTTCATCATGCTTGTCAACACTTGTGGGTTATGTGATAACTGACAGGAATTTTAGCATCAGATTTTATGTTATTCCTTTCCTGTTATTCAGACACCTTTATAAAAAATTATTAAATTTATTGGACAAGACATAAGGGATCATGAATATTTTTGGGATATTTATTTTTGTAGTGAAGACTGAGCACATAATTTCGTGAAAATATTCACAATAATAATAATGATCCTTCATGTTTTTTTGTTCAGTATATTTCATGTTTGTGGTTCACTCAGATTGGCATTCCAACTTCACCTCACCTCACCTCACCTACCTGTGTTCATTCTGTATTGCATGTGCTGCATAAGGACTGTTATGTAAACATCTTGAAGACACTCTTCCTGGGACAAACATGTACACCTCGTGTGTGCGTGCGTGTGTGTGTGCGTGCGTGCGTGCGTGCGTGTGTGTGCGTGCGTGCGTGCGTGCGCGCGAGCGTGCATGCACGAGTGTGTATCTGTGTCTGTGTGTATTCTCAGGAAGTGTACAGAAAAGAATTTATACTTTTTCAAGGCAAACCTCTTCAGACCATACAAAACAGATTATTGCGTTGCAGTGTGTCATGTTATAACTTCACATGACGTCACATATACCAAGGGAACAAGGGAGATAATCATGGTGCTTCATACTCAAGTTAACTTCAGCAAAAACAGTCTAAGCATCATGATTGTCCTTTATGTATGGCCTCTGGAGGCTTATTAGAGCTGAAATTGCTTGCCAATATAAGAATTAAGTCATTCCCCAAGTTTTTGATTATATCTATGCCATAAACCAAACTGACAAACTTGGTATCACGAATATGATTCGATAAATATGCATATCAGGTCAAACAGTATGATTTACTTTTAATAATGCGTGGTATCAATTATTTTTTGCACAATTATAATGCCTTCTATTCCAAAAAAAGTTTTGATAGATGTTTTCTGATGACGACATAACATTTTGGGTCTATATGGTAATTAAGGCAGTCCTCTCAAGTATTGTATGTGTGAAGCCCGTTTCTGGTGTCCCCCGCCGTGATATTGCTGGAATATTGCTAAAAGCGGCGTAAAACCATACTCACTCACTCACTCAAGTATTGTGTTCATAAAATGTACATGGTTTCTAAAGTTATTTCTTTGAGTAAAAAAATATTTTAAACCAATTGAAGAATGGCATAATGTGGCAAAAAGTTTATTGCCTTGTGTGATTCTGTGTCATAAATATCCCATATTAGGATTACAAAAAAATGTTCTGTCATGATTATGCCTGCCATTGATCATGGCCATAGGCATGATAGGCAGGCATAATGCATTTTGGAATGGAAACACACTCAGCTAATAAGCCTCTCTGTATATCAGACATGGCTTCAAAGGGCCTCTGCTACTCGAGGGAGCCATGGGATTATTCAAATGTATGCCGTGAGACCATAAGTACAAATATACTGAATTCAACACAGACATTTGATAACCTAGCACTTGCCTTTTCATATATACCACGACTTGCAATGTCAGTTACGTGAATATATGTCACGTGTTGAGATCATGGATAGCTTTCAATGTCAGTCCATATAGATGGATTACGGATTCCGTTCTGTCAGTGCTGACTATGACTTCTTATTGTATGGGTGTCGCGCAATGAAGGGTGCTGTAGTATAGCGGTAGAGCGTTGTTATAATGAATGCATGCAGTGATCCGTGACGCGGTAAAGTGAGAGTGACATGTTACGGTATTCCCTTAGAATGGTTGTCAAGGGGGGAGGGTAATCACTTTGTGAATCTTTACAGTAACTACTTGTCAATTACGGACATTTACATGAGGCCCTGTTAAGGTTTGACTTTCTTCTGCACTGATATTGCATATAGGTAGAACAAAAGAGGATTATTTTATTTAATGTAATCATAGTTATTTTTTATTCCGAAATATGTAATGTCAGTGAGATTACTATCAACACTGTAATTAAGAGAGACTGAAGTCAAAACATTTTACAGCCTTAACTGTGCCTCGTTATGAAATGCAATAGTAATGGGGTGTATGTAAATTTTGTGTGTACTTGGACACCACAGTGAAATTGCTCCTGTCGACAGATGGCAGGAACTTGTCGCTCTTTAATGGACTTTTAAACTGTTTTTAAATACTTGGAACATCTGAATATTCAACGGTGTTCAAGCAAAATGATTCGGAGACGCTTTAATTTTGAATTTTCGGAAGAACGACAAAATTACACTGTAGTAATTTTGCGAATGAGTGGAAAACCTGTCCATATAGGCAAGTGATTCTTTTGCAGGATTATTAGTGTGGAATATTTTCCTGCATATTGTTTTACTCCTGTGTTGCATGGTTGAGTTTTTCTGGGGATTTTCATGATTAATGTAGATTTATATATATACATATGTATGGTTTACTTATAAACTTATTTCTTTCAGATTACAAATTCAAGAAGGATGAGATCTTCAAACGGATGAAAGTCTCGACCCTGATACAGCTGGTGAGATACTCAGTTTCCGGGGTATAAACATGTAGCTGTAGAACTTAGGGGGGAACTATCTCCACTTTTTATACCTGCTAGCCATAAATAAGTTACCCATTGATGCCAGACTGCATGTTTATAAAGTATGTAAAGAAATATCAATATTTTTTCACAAAAACACAATGCAGCTGGTGCCTAAAACAAAAGTATGCTTAGAATTCAACGGCATCTTGACATTTTGCAAACTTTCATTTAGGTGTAACATTAAAACTGAATGACCAAATGTATATGTAGTTCCAAAATCAACACTCCCAGCTCTGTTATGCATGCTTATAACCGCCCTTGCTACATATGTTTTATTTTTTATGTGGTATTACTACACAATACTTGTTGTGACCCTGACTGGCACTCAGCATTATGGGGATAAAACAGACTGGTCAGCTCGTTGTCAGTATACTGCCTCTGAGTGGGGTTTCCATGTTACCTGCAGCATGGTATCTCAGTGGGCTAGCACTGGTCCGGACTAGTACAAACAGTACAATTCCCATTTCACCACACTGTAGAAGACCTGAATGTTTCATTTATGAATACATTATAGCAATTGACCCGTGAAGATCCGTGGTAGAATAGGTCTTCACCTCACATATCACTTGCATTTGCTTCAAACAACATGGCAGTGCCGAGTCAAGACGATCTGATCGATAATCAAGATCTATATTTTAAAAAGACAGGTCTTACTTCCTGAAGTGTATCAAATCACACAAGCACCTTGATTTGGAAAATATCTGTTGATGCCATGTTGACAGTACACATGCTTTGCAAATCATGCAATCGACAATCTGAACGGCCGTTTACGAACTGGACGTCGATTTCATTACACGATTTTGATTGGACAAGCTCCATAATTCCAGCCTAGTTCGGCAATGGTGGAAACTGGACTGGTCAGTTCACTCCCTTGCCTCGGAAAGATGTAAAGGGGGACTCTGGTCCATGTTTTGTTGTCAGTTTTCAGTCCAGGTCTAGATGTTGTTATTTGTGAAGTGGAGACTTATTCTCAGTTTATTTAGTAATCATTAACTGTTAGAGTGGTATTCATCATAAAATTTGACTTAGCAGACGAACAATGTGGTCTTCGAAATATTTGAGAGGCAGTGGGGTAGCTTTGTGGTTAAAGTGCTCGCTCGTCATGCCAAAGACCCATGTTCAGTTCCCCAACATGGGTACAATATGCAAAGCCCATTTCTGGTTTCCCCCTCTGGGATATTACTGGAATATTGCTAAAAGGGTGTAAAACTCACTCACTCACTCACTCACTCACTCACTCACTCCGCCTCGCCTCGCCTCGCCTCGCCCCGCCCCGCCCCGCCCCGCCCCGCCCCGCCCCGCCCCGCCCCGCCCCGCCACCCACCCACTCACCTCACCTCACCTCACCTCACCTCACCTCACCTCACCTCACCTCACCTCACCTCACCTCACCTCACCTCACCTCACCTCACCTCACCTCACCTCACTCACTCACTCACTCACTCACTGAACTATATGAATAAAACTTGCGGAAACTGCCTCTTTGCCCAGCCTTGTGCCCATGTACAGCATTGTCATTATCGATGTGAAAGTAGATATGTTTCTTAAATTGTGAGCAGTGTAAAAATGTAATGGTAGTCCTGTAACAGTAGACTGCAATAATTGCAAGAGTGTGAGATACCCCCAGCTTACCCCCTCCTCCCTCCATTATCTTCAAACACTGCCCTAACACAACATGTCTAAAGTGATACGATGGTGTAGAAATACATTGTTTGTTTTCAGATTGTACAGATAGCTAAGTTAGATGTCGCTGACACCAACAGGTCTTTTGGTAAGTATTGGGCGTAGTGTTGCTGTGTGGTTAAATCATCTTTTGAAACTAAAGTTCCGCATTCTGAGGTTGTGTTATTGAAATGTCTTTGCTCATTGACTCTGCCATCAAGCAGTATGTATATTCAGTGGTAGAAACTAACATTTTTTTCTACTAGTCCTTATGATACATACCTTAACTATTGGGCAGTTTGCCAAGGACAACAGGACTGGTGCCAATTTCTAATGCTGATATTTTCACAGATGGCGACCTTGGAGATGGTGATCGTCCAAGCACCGCTGACCAGGAGGTACAGAAGATATGTGATGGGGAGGAATCTCCTCCTGCTTCATCTAGAGATGGGGCTGAGTCCAGCAGATCGACGTTGCAACAGTGAGTGCTAGTTGTCTCCCCTGGTGTACTGGTCTCCCTTACAACAGTGAGTGCTAGTTGTCTCCCCTGGTGTACTGGTCTTCTTTACAACCTGAGTGCTAGTTGTCTCCCCTGGTGTACTGGTCTTCCATACAACAATGAGTGCTAGTTGTCTCCCCTGGTGTTCTTGTCTACCTTACAACAGTGAGTGCTAGTTGTCTCCCCTGGTGTACTGGTCTTCCATACAACAGTGAGTGCTAGTTGTCTCCCCTGGTGTACTGGTCTTCCATACAACAGTGAGTGCTAGTTGTCTCCCCTGGTGTACTGGTCTCCCTTACAACAGTGAGTGCTAGTTGTCTCCCCTGGTGTACTGGTCTTCCATACAACAATGAGTGCTAGTTGTCTCCCCTGGTGTTCTTGTCTACCTTACAACAGTGAGTGCTAGTTGTCTCCCCTGGTGTACTGGTCTTCCATACAACAGTGAGTGCTAGTTGTCTCCCCTGGTGTACTGGTCTTCCGTACAACAGTGAGTGCTAGTTGTCTCCCCTGGTGTACTGGTCTGCCTTACAACAGTGAGTGCTAGTTGTCTCCCCTGGTGTACTGGTCTTCCATACAACAGTGAGTGCTAGTTGTCTCCCCTGGTGTACTGGTCTTCCATACAACAGTGAGTGCTAGTTGTCTCCCCTGGTGTACTTGTCTCCCTTACAACAGTGAGTGCTAGTTGTCTCCCCTGGTGTACTGGTCTACCTTACAACAATGAGTGCTAGTTGTCTCCCCTGGTGTACTGGTCTTCCAAGCTCCTTCCCAGCGCGTGACACCTTCGTTACACTCTCGGTAACATCGCTGCAACCAGTGTGGGCGCGGCCATTTCAAGAATCTTGAAATTTGCCCTCCAACCCCATATGTAGTAATGTTTATACTTTTGTTTATGTCTTTGGGAAGGCCATCATATTTCAATTTGAAAAGGTTTACGACTGACCATATTTTCCAAATGAATTTACTTTGTTGTTTTGGTAATCAGATTGGTTCGAGATTGCAGACTAACGGAAAATCAACCAATTTCTCCCTTACATTCTTACTATATCAATAACACGATAGTTTTAATGAAACAGAAATTCAAATTGACAAACGAAGAAAGTATTTTAGCAGCGATAAGTGTATTCGGCGTCACGACAGTCGTCACTTGTTTGTAAACATAACGGTCATTCGGTTGCGAGTTCAACTCCAAGCATGGTTGTGGCCACCTATTCACAGTGGGGAGTTTTGACTGGTGGCAGCGATAGTATAGAGAGCTCCGGGAACGTACTATCGCTGTGAGGAGCATGACTGGTCTTCCATACAACAGTGAGTGCTAGTTGTCTCCCCTGGTGTACTGGTCTTCCTTACAACAGTGAGTGCTAGTTGTCTCCCCTGGTGTACTGGTCTTCCATACAACAGTGAGTGCCAGTTGTCTCCCCTGGTGTACTGGTCTTCCATACAACAGTGAGTGCTAGTTGTCTCCCCTGGTGTACTGGTCTACCTTACAACAGTGAGTGCTAGTTGTCTCCCCTGGTGTACTGGTCTACCTAACAATAATGAGTGCTAGTTGTCTCCCCTGGTGTACTGGTCTACCTTACAACAGTGAGTGCTAGTTGTCTCCCCTGGTGTACTGGTCTTCCATACAACAGTGAGTGCTAGTTGTCTCCCCTGGTGTACTGGTCTACCTTACAACAGTGAGTGCTAGTTGTCTCCCCTGGTGTACTGGTCTTTACAACAGTGAGTGCTAGTTGTCTCCCCTGGTGTACTGGTCTTCCATACAACAGTGAGTGCTAGTTGTCTCCCCTGGTGTACTGGTCTTCCATACAACAGTGAGTGCTAGTTGTCTCCCCTGGTGTACTGGTTGACCTTACAAAAATGGACTGGCCAGCCTATTCTCTTAATTTGGCACCAACTGAACATTTGCAGGAAGTATTCGGACAAAAGTTTGGGATAACCCCCCACAGCCTGCAAGTGATGCTCATTTGGTGTAATTCTTGCAACAAGAAGTGTTAGCCTTTCTTCAGATTACCATCAGAAACTAGGTTAGTTTGATGTGTCAATGTTGTCTCAAATGCATCAACAACAGAGGTGATCAAACACGATATTAACCAGTGAACCAGTGTTTCTGCCCATTGTGACTTTAACAAATGACCCCAGTCGTCTTCAGTGCAGCTTATTAACTTTACTGTTATCATCCTTTCTTTGTGCTGATATGTTTTTTTGGTCGTATAATGGCATGTCTAGAAATTGCATTAAAGATTATAACACACATGCCAGCTGTTGTTAAAATCTGCTTGAAAATTCCATGGTTCCTTGGATTCTTTTGAGTATTATATTTATGTGTTTTTCAGCGTGATACGAGGTGTAGGAGAAATTGATATGGACAGACCCCCACCCCCACCCAAAAACTCGTTTGTAGATGACCTGTGCCCGTACTTGCTGCTGGATATCCGGGATGAAGACTCCTACAATCAGTGTCACATCATTTCAGGTAAATAGTCTCCAGCATCGTCACAGGTCAATAGTCTCCCTCATTGCTACTGGTCAATAGTCTCCCTCATTGCTACTGGTCAATAGTCTCCCTCATTGCTACTGGTCAATAGTCTCCCTCATTGTTACTGGTCAACAGTATTGCACATCATTACAGGTAAACAGTCTCCCGCATTGCGACAGGTAAATAGTCTCTCACATCATGACAGGTAAAAAGCCTCCCACACCATGACAGGTCAATAGCCTCCCATATTGTTACTGGTCAATGGTATCGCACATCATTACAGGTAAATAGCCTCCCACATTATTACAGGTAAATGGTCTCTCACATCATTACAGGTAAATAGCCTCCCACACTGTTACAGGTAAATAGTCTCGCACATCAATACGGGAAAATAGCCTCCCACACTGTTACAGGTAAATAGTCTCGCACATCAATACGGGAAAATAGCCTCTCACACTGTTACAGGTAAATAGTCTCCCACATCAATACGGGAAAATAGCCCCCACATTATTACAGGTAAATAGTCTCCCACACTGTTACAGGTAAATAGTCTCCCACATCATTTCAGGTAAATAGTCTTGCACATCATTACAGGTAAATAGCCTCCCACATTATTACAGGTAAATAGTCTTGCACATCATTACAGGTAAATAGCCTCCCACATTATTACAGGTAAATAGTCTTGCACATCATTACAGGTAAATAGTCTCCCACATTATTACAGGTAAATAGTCTTGCACATCATGACAGGTAAATAGCCTCCCACATTATTACAGGTAAATAGTCTTGCACATCACTACAGGTAAATAGCCTCCCACACTGTTACAGGTAAATAGTCTTGCACATCATTACAGGTAAATAGCCTCCCACATTATTACAGGTAAATAGTCTTGCACATCATTACAGGTAAATAGTCTCGCACATCAATACAGGAAAATAGCCTCTCACACTGTTACAGGTAAATAGTCTCCCACATCATTTCAGGTAAATAGTCTCCCACATTATTACAGGTAAATAGTCTTGCACATCATTACAGGTAAATAGTCTCCCACATTATTACAGGTAAATAGTCTTGCACATCATTACAGGTAAATAGCCTCCCACATTATTACAGGTAAATAGTCTTGCACATCATTACAGGTAAATAGCCTCCCACACTGTTACAGGTAAATAGTCTTGCACATCATGACAGGTAAATAGCCTCCCACATTATTACAGGTAAATAGTCTTGCACATCATTTCAGGTAAATTGTCTCCCACATTATTACAGGTAAATAGTCTTGCACATCATTACAGGTAAATAGTCTCCCACATTATTACAGGTAAATAGTCTTGCACATCATTACAGGTAAATAGCCTCCCACACTGTTACAGGTAAATAGTCTTGCACATCATTACAGATAAATAGCCTCCCACATTATTACAGGTAAATAGTCTCTCACATCATTACAGGTAAATAGCCTCCCACACTGTTACAGGTAAATAGTCTCCCACATCATTACAGGTAAATAGCCTCTCACACTGTTACAGGTAAATAGTCTTGCACATCATTTCAGGTAAATAGTCTCCCACATTATTACAGGTAAATAGTCTTGCACATCATTACAGGTAAATAGTCTCGCACATCAATACGGGAAAATAGCCTCCTACATCATTACAGGTAAACAGTTTCTCACATACCAACCATTGTTAACCTTTGGTTATAAGGATACTTCAGGGGTGTTAAATTTGTGATTTGTCAAAACTCTTTTGTGCTAAACTTGTGTTTGTAATATTTCTTATTATGATGACTCAGATCATTGCAAAGTCAAATTTTACTGTATAAAACAATTGAAATTTGCAGTTGATAGAATGGAAAAGCTATGCTGAGAAATATTTACACAAGTAACAAATCATGTCACCAGTTCAATCATTTCGAGTGAATGAGTTAATATTTAACATCACATCGATAATACCTCACCCATATAGCAAACATGATGATCAGGCAACTAACTGAAGCAATGTAACAAAATAAAACCCAGGATTACTGCAATAATCAGACAAATTTTGATTTGGTTATTTCTCACTTGACAGTATTTTTTGTATGTCAAAATTTCTCTTTGCAGCAAAAAGTTATCCTCGCACGATGTTAACTCGGTCTGTGAACTACGAAACTAAGGATCTTCTAGTATACGTATCCTTCTCAGTTCATGTGTCCAAACTTCCTCTCTTGTGTCAGGTTGATGTCACCATGGGATGTAACCGGATTTTTATGATGACCCCCAATGGTGATTCCAGGTTAGAATAGGTCCACAGCAGCCTGTGCTAGTTTCATGAAGTGACTGTATTGGGTGGTCAGACTCAGTGATCTGCTTATGGCATATTGTAGCAGTTGTTGTCATCAGCTTTGCAGATAATGCAGTCATCAACACAAGTCCTTTTGGCTATGAAGGCCCTTTTTCTTACCGGAATGTAAATGTTTTGTCAAACACAGATGGCACAAGCTTATAGCCAATTAAGTTTGTTTGCGTTTCCTTCGTACATGGTAACAATAATGCTTTGTTATCACGAAAAGAAAACTGACATAAAATTCTTGTCTTTGCACAAGAAGAGCTTTAAAAGGGAGATAACTCTGATTATTTTGGCTGATAAAAAAATGAGACTGCACTTGCGTTACACATATACTGACTTACGTTGGGTTGGGCAGGGAGTCCTGTTTAAAAGTACTATCTCAATGCTGAAAGTGGTATCCTCGTTTCCTTAACTTTTCTCTCAGCGAAACCAGACGGGGAAAATCATTATATTATATGATGAAGATGAGAGGCTTGCCCACGACGCAGCGACGACGTTTGTACAGAGAGGCTACGACAACATATTCTTGTTGTCTGGGGGTGAGTCATTTGTTCAGTAAACAGGAAGTCAGCAAAAGAAAAATTATACTGTGGATATTAAATTGGACAATAAGATATGGGAAACGCTATTTTTCAGGGCATTATCATTTGCAGAAGCCTGAGGTCGTCCATTAACTGCCCTCCTTCGTCGGGCAGTTGAAAAGACCGAGAGTTTCTGCAAATGATAATGCCCTGAAAAATAGCGTTACCGTTATTGTAGCTAAAATGGATGGAATTTGTTATCAAATAAAAGTAAACAACAATATGGGGTTTGAAACATTTACTGCAATCAACATGAGCGTTACTGACCCACTTTTACAAACATGGAAACGTCATAGAACAAACCAGATGACGTCACTATTGAATGTGACATCACCTATCCCTATCCTATGACGTCACCTAACAATGGGCGTTATAATGGCCCATCGTCAAGCAATATGAGGGTGTTATCAAGTTACAGTGGCCCCTGATTCCTGTTAACATGCGGGCAGTTTAATGATAATTCTATCCATTTTAGCTATAATGAAAAGATAAGGGATGATAAACATTGTCAGTACTTCACAAGATTGTGTACACAACTATAAACCTGCATCCCCCTTCAATGCATCCGTCCACCATGCATTGTAACACTGACACACCTCTGTGGTGTAGTGTATAGCGCCTCTGCCTGTTAAGTGGAAGTGTTTCGATTCCTGGCCACGTCATATCAAAAGATGCTTAAATGAAGTACTTGTTGTTACCCTGTCTGACGCTCTGCATTAAGTGGATAAAACAAGGACTGGTCGGCTCAGAGGCTGCATACTGTATCTGATTCAGGTATCCATGTAACTGGGGCATGGTATCTCAGTGGGCTAGCACTATAAAACCAGCTTTAGTCCAGATTAGTTCAATCCGACACATGCTTATAGTAGTATTGTAAGACAATGTTATGCTGTTTACGGGTCACTCTTATAATATAGATGTGTATCATTTTTTATCGATACATAACCAAGATATACAATATTGTATCATGAAACAGAGTATTGCAATGCATCCAATTTAAAAAAAATCGTTTCATCCCTACTCGACATCATCAATCTTGCTGTTAGCAGACTGTGGCCTTACTGATTGGTTGACAGTAACACTCCACTGCATACCCACCAGGTGTAACACAGGTGGTGAAGCAACATTGTATAAAAGTATTGACAGTGGATGTATCAACAGTTCCTTTTGCTGTTCCATGTTCCAGCCATTCTATTGCAATTGTTGTGCTAATTTCAGGGCTCAAGGTAGCATACAAGAATTACCCTGAGGGTCTGATCACAGGGACGCCGCCCATGTCAGTCACGGAGAAGAAACTGAAGACCATAGAGCCAGCAGATCAGAAACACTTTTGTAGTGACGATATCGACAGATTGTCAATATACTTAGATCATGCTCTCAAGGACCAGAGTATAGGAAGTGAGTATAAACAGCCCTCTAGGGATTACGGGGAGGTGATGTCTGCAGTTCCCATCCTTGTTGTAGGTAATTATAATGAGTATCCGATGGCCACCATATTGCATATTAATCCACAAGTCTTCATTTCTTTCTTCAGTGACACTTAAATTACCAGATTTAGGAGACTCATTGAGTAACAATGAGTAAAGGGAGGTAATATTCTGTCAAGTTATCTCCCTTTAATATAACAAATGTAATATTTTGGATAACACTTTCTTAGTAAAGTATAGATTCTCGTACTTTTGGGGGGTTGAGTCCAATTCAGGATTCAAACCTACACTGCCAGAGTGAGGCACCTAATCTCCAGGGCTCTGTTCCACGAAGCGATCATAGCGCTACGACTGTCGTAAGCCTATGCTAAAGAATGGGAGTTACGATCATCTTAGCGCTACGATCGCTTTGTGGAACAGGGCCCAGCACATAAAGTCGGCGATCACACCCACTCAGCCACCAAGGCTTCCACAAAATGAAAGTCTGACAACTGGTAGTCTAGATCACGTACTTTGGGTACCCATCTGACAAGTGTTAATTGGCATGGCTCCCATGGCTGAAAGCTATGAACACACCGTGCCATTTAGAAGTATTTGGATTTGTCCTCCAGTTTGAAAGTAACCATTTCCTTTTCGTATCATTCCTACTTAAGGATTCGATATGTCTAGCTATTTTACCCAAGACTCTTTCAGTACCTTTTCTTTATCATGTCTTGTATAGAGCTTACCATAGTGTCTGTTAATATTCAACAGCATCCTCATACTTTAACTGTAATAGTTCAGGGCAAAACTATGCATTACACACTACACATGGGGTAGAGCACTCTTTATTTCTTAAATATAACAAGTGGGTTAGGTAGCAGAACGGACAAATTTTGCCTTACAAACAGTTCTGGTAATATTTGAATGGTTTGTCCTGTGTGATGCGGGTTAACAACTGTCATTTATCAGAGGTATTTAATAAGTGGGTTATAAATGACTGAAAAATTTAAGATAAAGGTCACATGCTTTTTGCAGGTCATTCTTGTGAAGTTCTTAAACATTGTGATACACATGTGTAAGTGTGTGTCCGTCATTTTTATCCTATATATTTCTGAGTGATACATCAGTTCACAATTCTTCATGTTTCCATCATTTTCAGAGAAAGGTTAGTGGTGACGCATCAAGTAAACCAATAGGACTGTGCTGTTTAGAGATGCATGCTAATCATATATCTAGCATTTTGTACTGCATGGCGTCAGTATACAGTGGTAGTCAGTATTTAGTCTTGTATATTTGCATGACTATTCACAGATGTATAATAACAAATGCTGACATGACTGTGGTGGTGTGTGGCCCACACAGACACACATACTGGTGATTACATGCCCTATGACCAAAGCCCAGTGACAAGTCATGCTATGTTACCTATATTCTTGCCCAGGGCTGTGTTTGGGATAATTTCAAAACCCAACAAGACAGTCGGGCAGGTGACTCATAAGTGTTGCCTGCCCATCTTCAAAGTTACCTGCCCGCATTCAGACATGAATATTGAAAAATTGTGAAAAATGAAAGACAAATCAGTTGAAATAATGAGACAATTCCTTGAGAATCTACGAGGTGTTATGATATGATTGAATACGTAAGTAGTCTTAAAATTACCTGCCAGACAGTCGGGGAGGTGGAAGAAAATTTGATGCAGCCCGACAGAAAAGTTACCAGCCACGGGCAAACAGGCATTTATTTGGGACACTGGCCCATGGTCCTCTCAGGTTTAGGTAGTGTGAGGTACCTGTTGTGTTCAGAATGGGGGCCAGTTATGAAATATTTGTGTTTCTCATGGCTATTTTCAAGAGGGAGTAGTTGCATTTTTGTTATATTTCTTCAGTAGGTTACAAATCTGTAAGATTTAATTCTAATGTACCAAGGGGTATTTCTAGTCATGCCCTGAGGCTTGAAGTATGCAGATATATCACTGTGCAGAGTTGTGTCCCTTGGTTTAACCAAAGTAGTCAACATCTGAGACCTGCATCACTTCGGGCTTTCATTCCACATTAAGCTGACACGCTGTGGTATAACTGGAATACTGTTAAAAGCGGCGCTAAACCCAACTCACTCACTCACTCACTCACTCACTCACTCACTCACTTACTCATCAGAGGCTGAACCTTTCTGAAGCATTATGGAGTAAAGTCAATACTGCCCATCATTGATCTATGTACATTTTCTGATACTTGACAGTATTATGCAGAGTGAATCTTCTTTCGCTGTTTATAGCAATTTAACCTTAAACATGCTCTGTACATTTATTGTGTGTGATAATATTCATCAACATGTAGCATGTGCTATCAGTATCAGTAGTGTACTACTGTCATCACTGCATGAGAATTAAACCTTGCATGTGGGTGATGCTGCCCCAGTGTGTGAAATAACCGCCTGCCCACACGCCTATGGCTAGCAAAATTTCCGCATGTTGAGATGAACTTGACTTGCATCCATTTTTTAATACTTCACTCTGACTTTTTGACTGTACACTACACAGTCCAGATTCTGATTCAGAATATGAGATCAGTACTATGGTAATATGATTATCTTGTCACTGGAGTAACATATAATATTTGCCATTTAGAAATTTGGGGTCACTTTACCTTCATAGAATTATCATCTGGAAACATAAACTCGCATATTTAAACTTGTGAAATTTGAAACTCCCTTGTAACTTGTAAGTCAAGCTAGCCAAACTGGCTGTCAAGATTTTGAGACTATTTCACACACTGTGCTGTATATCATACCAGCCTTCATCTGGCCTTTATCATGATACTGACACTCACTAGAGATCTGTCAGATTGTTTATTTGCTCAACAAGGATGATGTAGGAAAAGATTTGAGTACAAACAATTGTGATTACCTGGTTGTAAGATATATTCTTAGAAATCCATGCATGCTGTAGAGGATGGACCGCCTCCGTGGTCTAGCGGTAGAGCGTCCGCCCGGAGAGCGGAAGTTCTGGGGTTCGATCCCCGGCCGCGTCATACTTTAAGACGTTAAAAGATGGTACTTGTTGTTACCCTGTCTGGCTCTCGGCATTAAGAGGCAACACAAGGACTGGTCGGCTCGGAGTCAGTATACTGTGTCTGAGTGGGGAATTCATGTTAAACTGCGGCATGGTATCTCAGTGAGCTAGCACTATAAATCGGCATCAGTCCGGACTAGTTCAAGCAGCCACACACATACATATGTGCATGCACGTCGCTATATAAGTGCAATAATCTTGGACGCGACGTTAAACCCAATTTCACCTCACCTCACCTGTAGAGGATGAATAACATCCCTCAAAGCCCGCTATCAGCCTTTTCAACCAACTGGATGCTCATCTATTCTTTTAGTGTTGTTAATAGTCTAAAGCATGCAAGTGTGAATTGAAATAAATAATGTTTAAGTCTCTGTTATAACGTGCATAAATACACAACGGATAAATGAGGTGGAATGGGGGTCCTTTTTTAAAATGTCAGTTTTGTAGTTAAGTAAAGCTTGGAAATATTGGTAGGAAAAACGTTAGACATGTCCTCATGGTTGACAAGCCATTTTCTTTCTAACACTCTTTAAGAATTGACTTTTACTTTGTGTGAGTTCACTGCAGTATGAACCTTCATAGAGTGAGGGCCCAACTGTATGAACCTTTCTCCTTGGTTTCCCCCGGATTGTGGAAGTAGTCCATCAGTGTTTGGCATTTGGAGAATACAGTCTCGTGAAAAACGTATGTACGTCAAATTGTGTCGTTCTTACACTTATGAACGTCAGTTCCGGGGTTGTGTTACTCGCCTCTCTTCCAATGGAAAAGCTGTATGTCGTGTAAACTTCGAATTAAAAAATTATAATCATTGAATCTCTCACATGAAAAGTACATCAGTATGTCTAATGTATGTCAATGTACTTCAATCAGTTTGGGTCAGAGACTGGTCATGTTCAAATATCATAAAAACATCTGTTGGAAGTCTCTAATATATACTTTATCTATCAATTATGGCCTAATTATACATTTAGCATTGCGTTTACTCCAAAACATGCAATTGAAATAACAAAGTTTAGATCTTTCATAAGCATGATAAGCACACTACCTATAACGGCTTCTAGAAATTATTCTTCTCGATTTGTGCAGATTCTGTGAGCAACTCGTCATGCCTAATCCTTTCTTTAAGGATAAGTTAGAGCAGGTGTGCATTATTTGACATTAACAAGAATGAGTCATGCCCTATGGAATAATCTTGAACAGTTTAATTCAATGCTGTTCTGAATTCAACTATTTTTACATCTTTCACATCAGTTTGTTGCAATAATTTTACAGGAAATCTATTGTTTTTGTTTACACTTGAAATTGAAATATGAAATGTAGTTTTCCTCCTTTGATCTAATCGATGCTACTGTGAACACCATCGTCAAGGTTTTCTGTCTGTATCCTCCAGGGGCGGTCGGGTAGCCTAGTGGTTAAAGCATTCGCTCGTCACGCCGAAGACACGGGTTCGATTCCCGACATGGGTACAATGTGTGAAGCCCATTTCCGGTGTCCCCCGCCGTGATATTGCTGGAATATTGCTAAAAGCGGCGTAAAACCATACTCACTCACTCACTCACTGTATCCTCCAGGTCGGCTCTCCCGCGCCAGTACAACTGCACGGACCATGTCTCAGCAATCAACAAAGTCCAACCTCACAGCTCGCTCCAGCTTGGACCACAGACCAACCTTCAAACCATAATAAGGTATGCTATGTGTGTATTCTGTGGTAAGGGGCCTTGGTTTAGCGTTGTGGTTAAGGTGATAGGCTGTCTACCCGGAGACCCAGGTTCTATTCCCCACATGGGTATAATGTGTGAAACCCATATGTGGTGTCCCCTGTCTACGATATAATTGGGATATTGTGAAGGGCGGTGTACATCCATACTAACTATTCTGTTCACTTCATTATGGACGTGGGGCGGTGGGGCAGCCTTGTGGTTAAAGCGTTTGCTCGTCACGCTGAAGACCTGGGTTTGATTGCCCACTTGGGTATAATATGTAAAACCCATTTCTGGTGTCCCTCGTTGTGGTATTGATGGAATACTTCTGGAATATTGCTAAAAGCGGTGTAAAACTGTAAAAACAAAGATTAAAGAATTGAGTATGACAGGCAATGGATGTACAGTAAACTACGGTTATAAAGAACTCAATGGGACTACTTATTTTAGTTCGTTATAATCGTAGTTCGTTATAAGTACATATACAGCATGACTACAGCAAGTAGTCGGGACCAAAAAGTAAGTTCGCTATATCCGTCAGTTCGTTATAAGCGTGTTCGTTATAACCTTAGTTTACTGTATGGTAATTTAAGGTATGATATAGCTTGTCACTCTGGGATCAGCCATTAAGGTTGACTGACTATCTTTGCTATGCATTGATGCGAGTGGCAATGCATAAGCACAAAAATGTTTGGAATATAATGGTCTGATTATTGGGAAAATGTCATATATAATTGGTCTGGCACAGTTTAGTCTCACTCAGTCATGTCTGAAAAAAGTTTCGATAAGATAAGACTTTATTACCCCAAGGGAAATTCATATTGGACAGTTCATTAGCAGATTCATGTGAGCAGTGTGATTTGAAATTATATATTTGTATTAAATATCCTTGGACTGCTTACTGGCACAAGTGTATTGAAACGATACATGACTCAACATTGCCTTTCCAGGAATCTCGCTTCAGAGAGTAGCATCACATCCGTCCAATCACATTCAGTCTCACCCTCGTCAGCAGGAAGGTCAAGGTGAAGTCAGTGGTGAGCAATATTGACATGTTGCCCATCCTGCCCATCCTGCCCATCCTGCCCATCCAGTTCTGAGATGCCCTGGGAATCAAGGAGACTGGTCTTACAGTGCCACTGTGTGGTGCACGACCTGGGTGCCATGACAGTCAGTTGTATGTTAATTGTGGAGTAAGTTTAATCACAATGTGTCAGCTCAACCCTGAATATCAATAGATTACATACTTAAAGAATTCAGTTAAGCTTTAATTAAATTGTTTATTAAAGTGATTCCAAGAATGTTTGTATTTATTTGAAATTGACATGATTTTTCTTAGTTATGATGGTATGTAACTTTACCATGTAGAACTTTGGGTGCCATAATTATCTCCCCTTGCTTTTGCGATTCACACGACTCGGATGTCATACAGCATATTTTACATATAATTGAGCATTCATTAGCTGTGAATGAGTGAGGTAGTGTCATCAATTGTGTATCATTCTTTAAAAATCAACAACATCTGTCTGTTAATTACCAGTTCCAGCAGTGAACAGGCTCTGTGTGTTAATATCAGAAAGAGAATGACATTCACGTTTTATTGTTGTACCTTTATGTTTCTACAGCTTCCTTTTCATTCTGCGCTGATGGAAGCTTGACTCACCTTGTTTGCAAGTTGATTGTGTTGTGTCTGAAATGAAATGTAATTCTTGATGTGAATGGAATCATACCATGTATAGTCACACTTAACCTAGTCTGGACCTGTGTATGTAAATAATGTAAACAAATGATCCTTGCCCCTCTCTCTGTCTCTGTGTTAATGTCTTAGACATGCCACATTCACCAAAACATAACAGAACAATTATACTACCTCAGTTAAGCTAAATAATATGGGGGCCACGGGTGGCCCAGTCGTCTGAGGCGCCGCGATTCGCTGTGCAGAGTTGTGTCCCTTGGGCATGCCAGAAACCTATGATTGTGGGTTCGAATCCCGGTTCGCCCCAATTATGTTTCTAGGTTTGTCAGCACCATACCCGTGCTCGTGGGTTTCACCGAAGTGGTAAACGTCTGAGACCTGCATCACTTCGGGCTTTCCTCCAACATTAAGCTGACACGCCGCGATATAACTGGAATACTGTTAAAAGTGGGGTTAAACCCAACTCACTCACTCACTAAATAATATGACTTTTATTTGAAGACAGAATTTTTCTTGCTTGATGAAGGACCTAAAACGGAAATGTCTCATTGAAAGAAAGAGAAGTTAATGCCACTGAAAGATAATGATTTTGATTTCTTCTAGCTGCAAACTTTAACTTACAAGTTAAAGGCGTAATTTTTTAATGGTTGGTTGACATCAGTGAGTGAGTGACTGTATGAGTGAATGTTTACTAATCCAATATTCATTGTTTGACAGACATTTCTTAGAAGTTGACGGATGACAGTAGACAAAAATGTTTTATGGATAACAACTTCTTTGTAATTTCTCTGTAATTGCGATATTTCGGTATATATTCTTATACTGTTGTCAAGCAGGGACAATGTTGTTTGATAGATGTGTAGTTCTAATCCATTTTTTATGTGTTCGCAGATTAAGCATTTACCAATATTTAGGTCAGGTCTAGCTTTGGAATCATTTAGATATGGTTTGCCTGTCTTCACATAGACATGTTCACGAATAAACTGTGATTGTGGTATTATTTATATTAGCTGTTAACAACTGTTGTTAATTAACATTGCTGCATTTTGTGGTTCTGAAGATGTTTGTGTCATCACTTAAGTATTGTAAACATGTGACGTCAGATAACATCTTCCTATTTAATATCATTAAGGACTGGTCCATGATTATGTATACATAAGTTTCCTCTCCCCTTCCTTGACCTAAAAAGTATCAAGAAACCATAATCCTTTTGTAATCCAGGTTCAGGGCAAATGGAACGCATCTAGGAAGTGTGATAAATTAACATCCATTTTTAAACTTTTAGTATTTTTTTATCTTTTTGTTTCTGTGTGAAATTTGTCAAGTATCTTTCTTCAAAGCATTTCAATGGGATTTTGGATTTTATTCTTTTGTTAGAAGTGGTAGACAATACATATGTTATGACACTGCTGCAAGCATGTTCATATGGAATAAGATATTTGTATATATTTTAACACATTGAAGTAAATCGTTCATTCATAACTATCTAAGGGTAATCTCTTGATAAATTCCCAGTCAAGCTGTATGAGGCTAAGTTTACAGCTACAGGTACCACTGTTCTGCTTAAACCAAGGTGATCACTGGCTCCCATAAGTTTCCTTATTTTCCCCACAAGATAAATAAATACACATGGTAATCTTAATCTCTGGGTATACAACAATGACTAAAATAACAGGAAATACAATTGAAATTGTAGATCATAATGTCTAGAGGAATAAAAACACTGGTGTCATCCATGAATCTCGAGGCCAGCGCTATCATGAGGGAGAGTGTACTATGTGTATGAAATATTTATGTTGCATATGGGTACTTAATCAAACCAGAAATACCGTATTCGACGTAATAAGTGCCCCGCTATAATAAGCACCCACGGCGATATTTGCTAATATATTGGCTAGTGAAAATCCCAATTAGCACCCTTTCCGATTGATCAATGTACACGAGATATTATTTATTCGCTTATAATATGCACTTGTGTGTTATATGCACCCTTAATTATGAGCAATTAAATTCTGGAAAAACATATCTCTCGTATATAAACATTTCAGGCTGTCAGCATAAACCATGAAATTTAACTTTCAACTCTGGTTGTTTTTTTCGACAAAATAATATTCTAATAAGAGCCCCCCTATTTCTAAGTTTGAGAGCGCCCTGGGCGCTTATTACGTCAAATACAGTACTCTGATACTGTACACAATCAAAATACTTTGGTTTTATTACTGAAACATTGTTGGGGGTGTTTTGAAAGATGGTACACAAATTAATCTTGTTTCTACAACTATCTGTGGTAGTAGCTCCAAATGATCTCTCTGTATAATTATCAATAGGAAGGTTTATGGTCAGTTAAAGATGTTTTTTTTCTGAATGATGTGAATGTATTTGTTTTAGTTCCATGGTTTCTTGTAATTTTGTGATAGGATGCATATTTTTATCTACATTTGTATTTGTGAAACATGGCAAATGGTGACTTATCTCAGCTAACATCATCACATTTTCCAGATCATTGTGTTGAAATGTCGAGTTTTGTAAGCAGGAGTTTGAGAAGTACCCTGCACTTTGACACTTGTTTAGCTTACGAAATCCAGATTCAACAGACCAGTGCCAAAAGCTACATTTGAAAATCAAAACAGTTAAAAGTTATTTTTATTCGCCTGACCGCTCCATCTTTGTTGGATAAGTATAATAGAAAGATACAAGTATATTAATCAAACAATATAAGTAACAACTAGCTATGTATTAATAATAAGGACCCATCTCACGAGGAAACTTCATGCCAAAAAACAAAATATTGACCTGCAGATTGATTTGATTTTTTTTTTTTTTAATTCTACCAACTCAGACTGATTTCTGAGATGAAATCTTTGAACAATAATATAAAGAAAGTGTGGCTTAAGACACAGAATACAGAATATTTATTTTCTGCATTCTCTAATGTTAATCAGTACTACCGGTATGTGTTAATTTGTTGATCTCAAGTCAAATTGAGCACTGTGTATGAATTGAGTCAAGCAAGCACCATCCGTAGCTTCATGTGTATTCAATATTCAAAGTATTTCAGTTTTTGCACCTCTTACGGTCAGTGGGTGTCTGAATTGAAACAGGAAGAGCCAGCTGTGTTTTGTTCACCTTCTGTTTGGCTTGTCTCAAAATGGCCGTTCTGTTTAACCCAGTCAACTGTGATATGTGAACATCTATTGAGGGTTTGTGTTCTCACCAGCAACATATGTCAACTAACAACTGTGGTCACTATTGGTTGAATAAAATGTTAACTCAGCATATTCCATTCGTTTGTTGTGTTTTGGGAGACAGGCTTGGTTTCTTGTCTTGGTTCGGTGTAAGGGTTACCATAGTTACCTGAAGGGGTCGTGTTTGGTTTTTCAGATATGTACCCCATGTACCTTTCCATATTCTGGGTTTTTTTTGTTTTACGCCGCACTAAGCAATATTCCAGCTATATGACAGCAGTCTGTAAATAATCAAGACTGGACCGGATAATCCAGTGATTGACATCATGAGCATCGATCTACACAATTAGGACATGATGACATGCATCAACCAACCAGTCCGACCACCCAATCCCATTAATTGCCTCGTACGACAAGGATAGTCACCTTACTCCAATGCAATGCCACAGGTTTCCAGAACAACTGAACTGCCAGGTTTTGAGAAGGAGAAGTATTTCTGTCAGTGATAATCAACAATAATACTACAGGTTGCTGACAAACCAAGAATCGTAATCAGGGCATTTGTGGGATTTGAACCCGTGATAAGGAGATCCTGGCTAAGGGACACAACTCTGATGCTTCATCCACTGGGCCATGCATGCCCATTTATTCTCTGGAAATTTCTGTGTTTCAAATCCTATCATCAGAGTATTTCAACTACTGCAGCACAAACCCTAGTTTGAGAGTTCGGAGCTTAGGTGGTCTTGTCGTCACACTTCCAAGAGACTGAACCTGTTCATCATGGGTTTGAATCTCAGGTATGCCCCAAGTTTCATCATTGGTCTGGCAACGCCACACCATGCACAGCGGTAGCACAAAAGTTGTAAACATCTGTGAGTCACTTTGGTTGGTTGGTTTGTTGTTTAATGTCGCACTCAGCAATATTCCAGCTATATGACGGCGGTCTGTAAATAATCGAGTCTGGACCAGACAATCCAGTCATTAATATCATGAGCATCGATCCACGCAATTGGGATCGATGACATGCATCAACCAAGTCAGCGAGCTTGACCACCCGATCCCATCACTCGCCTTTTACGACAAGCATAGTCGCCTTTTACTGCAAGCATGGGTTGCTGAAGACCTATTCTACCCTGGATCTTCACGGGTCGTGAGTCACTTTGAGCTTTCAACCAACATTATGTACTGTGATATATACTACTAAAGAAGATAAAGAACACCGGCTTTTTCCTATGGCTATAGTTGTAATGTAAATACGGAGAATCTCACTCGAGTGTCTTCCAAGATCAAATATATCAAGATGAGTTGATAAAATTACAAATATCCCAGAAACCATGGAGCTTGGATGCTGTATCATAAACTTTTCGAAAATGAGCAGCCTTCATTTGAATTTTAGTTTTATACTTAAGGCTTTAATAATTAAGACCATGTACTTTCCTTCACTGCAATATGATATATTAGCTTAAGTAGTTTATGAGTACTTGATATATGCAGTATATTTATATAACGAGTGTGAATGTACTGATGAGTTGTGATATATGTCATTGGGTTTCTGCTACCCTGGCCAGAAGCCCATTTTATGTAACAGGTACTTCTTTATATAAACAATAAAAGAAAATTAATATCCCAGGCTTGCCAAGGTTAATTTTATTTTTATCAACTGGGTTTGAGATATTTGTGCTGGGAAGGCACGAGGGTGAGATTCTATTCCAAAATAATTCTTCCAATTTTTTCAGTTTGTAAACAGTAACAAGCAGTGTCTTGACTGTAAATAGTAGAGCTGACAAGCTTCAGTAGTCCTGCATCATGACTGGGAAATATTTGTTTTATGAAGAAGAAAAAAATCTAGATATATATACAAAAGTAAGTTCAGCCAGCTCTAGCTAGCTCTAGTCCACATCAGCATCAGGAAAAATATTAGTTTAATTTTAGAGCCGAGAAGGTTATTGTGTAATACAAGATTTCATAGACTATATGTAAGTCTACAGCTTCAGTACGAGAGAGATGAGTGATTTTGACTGTGACATCATCATGACGGATCACAGTCTGCAAAGCATTGTGACCCAATTACATTGTAGCGATATATCCTCGGATCACCCAAGCGATATCTCCTGTGGAAGCCAATTTGGTATGATGAATAATGTTTATTTTAATAGATTGTGTGAATGTAACAAAGTTCTATTCCCCTGGACTTTGCAATACCCAGAGTAGACATTAGTAACACCTTGTTGCCTGTCCCGAAAAACAAGCATGTTATAAGAAACTCCCGAAATAGCTGACTGGCTGAAACTCCCTCTAGTTTACTTAGTGAAATTAGAAGGTCAGCCTTGAGTTACATTGACATTTCCTGCACTTGTGTGTGCTCCATGTGTAGGACTAGGTCCTTAATTGCAGAACAACGCAGCTCGATACCGACTGTCCGTGTGATGAGATTTGAGTCTGACGGAACGCTGCGTCTCCAGACACTTGCTAGTTCAACAAACAGAAGCATGGGGATTCATTATAGAAGAATTCTATAGGCTGTCATTATTTTTGATCACACATAGTACCTGCCTAAAACTTACACATTTAAGCATATCTAACCCACACCAAGTTATTTGCATGTTTTACAGACAAGCCTTCCCTAAATTGTATGGAGGTAAATAACAATATAGAACAAAAGGGATGTTTGTGGAACTAAAATCAACCATGGCGTTTTTTCTAAACAAAATATTCACCCCCTGCCTCTTGGCCTTTGACCAATCAGTATTTTAATTAAGCACGAAAGTCAAAGAGATGTCATAACCCTCAATGTTAAAATTTTAAATTTAACGGGTCTTTAGTTTAAATTCAACAGCACCAAAGACATTGGACCCTAGGAACCCATTTATGATTAATTTTGGACCCCATTAAATGCAAACATTGCCAGTGAAATCAGTAAATCATGTCTTTATAAACAGAAACATATTCGAAAAACACTTACCGTATTCCAGGTAATAAGCGCCCACGGCGATATTTGCTAATATATTGGCTAGTGAACAATCCCAATTAGCACTCCTTCCGATTGATCAATGTACATAAGACTTATTTATTCGCGTATAATAAGCAATCGTGTGTTATATGCATTCTTAATTATGGGCAATTTAATTCTTGAAAAATGTATCTGTCGCATATAAACATTTCAGTGTGTCAGCATAAACCACGAAATTTATCTTTCAACTCTCTTTTTTCCACCAAAATAATATTCGAATAAGAGCCCCCTATTTCTAATTTTGGGAGCGCCCTAGGCACTTATTACATCGAATACGGTATGTCTAGATTTCCTTATGAAAGTCAGTGCTCGTCATTCAGAGCTTTTGTTATGAAAATTGTGGAAAAAACACTGTGTGGGAATCATTTGAAACAATTTTATAATGGTCTGCACTTTTAGATTTAAGAAAAAGTATATACCGTATTCGACGTAATAAGCAGCCAAGGCGCTCTCAAAATTAGAATAGGGGGCTCTTATTAGAATATTATTGTGATGAAAAAAACAGAGTTGAAAGATCGTAAATTTTGTGGTTTATGCTGACAGCCTGAAATGTTTATATACGACAGATATACTTTTCAAGAATTTAATTGCCCATAAATAGGGGTGCATATAACACACAAGTGCGTATTACACATGAATAAATAATTCTTGTGCACATTGATCAATCGGAAGGGGTGCTAATTGGGATTGTTCACTAGCCAATATATTAGCAAATATCTCTGTGGGCACTTACTAGAGCGGGGCGCTTATTACGTCGAATACGGTATGTGTGTTCCATCAGGTCAGGTTAAAGGTGAAAGGTGACAGTGGGAGGATAGGCCGACAGCATCTTCCTTCCTTCAGTGAATCACATCAGCAACACAAACATTGTACCCACTCACCAAGTCTGTCTCCCCATCACTGCTGTCAATCTCACTCCCACCTCTCATGGCCGTCTCTTGGTGTCTGTTTGCTTGGCTCACAAATCTATGACCTAACCCACTTAAGTTTGTTATTCTTCTTCAAAAAGCATGTAATTTATCGGCATGACGAATATTTGTATAATTTTCTTTCTGCCCTGGTATCAAACATACTGATTCTTTCTTTCCGTTCAAATAGCCATTAAACCTTTGGTTAGATAATCACATCGGGATATTCAAAATAACTGACATAACTTTTGAAAATGACATCAAATTTTGTGTGAACTAGAAACTAACAGTGTAGATCCTGGGTAGAAGAGGGTTTCAGCAACCCATGCTTGTCTAAGAGGAGAATATGCCTATGGTAAGAGGTGACTAACGAGACTGGGTGGTCAGGCTCAATGACTTGGTTGATGCATGTCAACGTATCCCAATTGCGTGGATCGATGCTCATGATGGCAATCACTTGACTGTCTTATTATTTACAGACCGCTGTCATAAAGCTGGAATATTGATGAGTGCGACGTTAAACGAAATAGAAACTAAAACTACTACTTTTACAATTACCCACATACTTTCATTTCAAGAAACAACATTATTATTGAGGAAAGTATATATTAAAAAACATAGTGCCATGGTACTGAAGGTCACCTTCCTATGGCTTCATTACAACAGTTTAAAAACAATTACAGTCACTAAAGAAAAGTTGATGTCAGCATTGATGGTAAAATATTTTAAGCCTAAATACTAAAAACTAACACTAAAATATAATGATTTGCACAAACTATGATGTCACCATAAAGAGAAACATGCATGCCAACGTTTAGCTCCCTCAGACTGGAAATTTCAGAGAAAGGCTTACAGTACATGCATTTTGAGAGAATTAAGATTATTGTCGAAGAAGGTAAACATTTTAAATATTGCAGAAAAAATTGTCATATATGTTGAGCCCCCTAATAACTAAACAGGGAGGTCAGGTAGCCTAGTGGTTAAAGCATTGGCTCGTCACGCAAGGACCCAGGTTCGATTCCCCACATGGGTACAATGTGTGAAGCCTATTTCTGGTGTCCCTCGCCGTGATATTACTGGAATATTGCTAAAGGCGGCATATAACCATACTCACTCACTCACTAATTACTACACATGAACCAAATTTTATTAAATTTCTAAACAAAATGGCTTTGTTATGGCCATAAATCACTTTTTCAATATGGCTGCCATGGCCATCTTGAAAATAAAGTTGGAACCTCTTTGACAAATTGAGGTATCATCCTTGCTGGGAGGCAGGGAGGTGGAATAAATCCACCACTGACCAAGACCCCCTTGCACAAAACCATCTTAGCGCTACGAGTTACAATCACCTTAGCGCTAAGATAGCTTTGTGTAACGGGTCCCAAGTCAGTAACATCAAAATCACCAGATGAAATTTACTGTTGTTATGCAACAATAAACTACATATTACTCATTGCTTGTGAACTAAAGATGTGATTCATCTGAGCTAAACCTTTTTAATGTCATCAATGCGACGTGTCTACAACTTCCATGCAGATTTCCCCAGTAAAAAAAAGCTTCCTTAAATTATGACCATGAGTATATTCCCACAGCAAATGAAGTTAAGTGTTTTCAGTGGTTTGTCTGCCGGTCCTCCCAGTCGGCCAGGTGATAATCCCGGGACAGCTGCTGCATCCAGCCACTGCCCTGCGGTGACTCACACCGAGGGAGGGACGACTCACGACTCATGCACCAGGGGAGACGTGACTGGGTTCGTGACCAGAATGCTCAGTGTGTCCACTGTTTCACAAAGTCCAGTAAAACACCATGAGTTTGGTTGTTAAGAGAGTGAAAGTTGACCCAGGCATATTGGGGCGTACTGAGTCTGAAGCCTGATAAGTCATTGCCCTCATTTGATAAATACCAAATTCTGTAGGCATGATCATTTCTAAAAACAGCTTAACTATTGTCAAACTGAAACTTTTAATCGGTCAAAATATATTTGCGTGAATGTCACCCTACAGAGGCATGATCTGTCAGATTCTGGCACGGAGATGTTTCAAGGACCGGTACAGTAAACTACATTCATAACGAACATGCTTATAACAAAAAGACGGATATAATGAACTGGCATTTTGGTCCCTGCCATTTGCTGTATATATGCTTATAACAAACTACGGTTATAACAAACTAAACTTAGTGGTCCCTTTAGAGTTCGGTATAACCGTACTTTACTGTATTGTTGATGTATGTGTCAGTACAGACGTTCCAGTGGTACATACATACGATGACAAGGTTGTGATACGATACATACGATGACAAGGTGGTGATACGATACATACGATGACAAGGTGGTGATCAGATACATACGATGACAAGGTTGTGACCAGATACATACGATGACATGGTTGTGATCAGATACATACGATGACAAGGTGGTGACCAGATACATACGATGACAAGGTGGTGATACGATACATACGATGACAAGGTTTTGATACGATACATACGATGACAAGGTGGTGATCAGATACATACGATGACAAGGTGGTGATACGATACATACGATGACAAGGTGGTGATACGATACATACGATGACAAGGTTGTGATCAGATACATACGATGACAAGGTGGTGATACGATACATACGATGACAAGGTGGTGATACGATACATACGATGACAAGGTTGTGATACGATACATACGATGACAAGGTGGTGATCAGATACATACGATGACAAGGTTGTGATCAGATACATACGATGACAAGGTTGTGATACGATACATACGATGACAAGGTTGTGATACGATACATACGATGACAAGGTTGTGATACGATACACGATACATGACATGAAACTGTCACACTAACCATGTAAGGAGACACGTTCCAGTATCAAAGACAATGAAAGAAAACCAAACATATGTAGTAGATTTGCATTAAGTAATGAAATAGTGACTTGAGACCTCTTGTACATACAGTATAACTGCATTATTTTTTTTACAATTTTACATGTAATTTTTATATATACTTGTATCGTTTTGTATCAATACTTGACTTCACCATATTTGTTGATGCATGTCATTGTATCCCAATTGCGTAGACCGATGCTCATGATGTCAATCACTGGATTGTCTGGGCCAGACTTTATTATTTTCAGACTCCAGTCATATACCAATAGTTGCAATATTGCTGGGTGCAGTGTAAAAATTTTTTTTTTTAAAATGACTTCATTATATGATACTTGTGTCACAGACTATCCTGATACAGTGACCTTTCCAGTATATATGTGTACTAATTTGCTGCACATTGTATTTTTTCTGGGTGGGAAATACAAGCATCAATGTCAAGCCTCAACAAATTTCTCAATTCTGCTCTACATAATCAGCCAAGCAGAAGTTGAACTTCCCTGAAATTTCTGGGATAGAATTCAGCAACCCAGGCCTGTCGTAAGAGGCGACCAAAGGGATCGGATGGTCTGGCTCAATGACTTGGCTGATGCATGTCATTGTATCCCAATTGCGTAGATCAATGCTCATGATGTCAATCACTTGATTGTCTGGTCCAAATTTGATTATTTACAGACCTCCGTCATATACCGGTAGCTGGAATATTGCTGACTGTGGCATTGAACAACAAACTAAATAATATTCCAAATCTGTCTCAATACCCTGACAATTTCTTGTATCCAATTCTTCTGTATCCATATCTGCTAATTGAATCATGCCAACCAAAGGCTAATATTGAGGGAAATTCAACTTATATTTATTGACTGCAATGGGAAATTGGTGATAACTTCTTGTATTTGCAACGTAATCAACATTTTGATGTCAGAGTCACGTCTTATGCAGTATTTGATTGACAATGCCCGTTCCTTGCATGGATGGGTGGATGGGTGGATGAGTTAGTGGGTCTGTGAGTGAGTGAGTGTTTGGGTGGGTGGGTGGGTGGGTGAGTGAGTGATACACTGCTTTTAACAATATATTCCAGCAATATCACGCCGAGAGACACCAGAAACGGGCCTTACACATTGTAGCTACATAATGAATTGAACCTGGAACTTTGGCATGACAGGTGAACGCTTTAACCCCTAAACTACCCCAATGCCCCAAGTTTAGCATAAAGTAAATAAACATCTTCTTAATCACATACAAAGACAAAACACAACACCGATAATTTTGATATTTATTTTCAGCATTTCATTGATTGACAAATATTTCGAGGTTGACATATTCAATATGATGATAACTGTTCTCGTCGAACGTAGTATATCATACGCAGATTTTGGCAAATTTGATGACATGAAAATGTTGTGAACGCATCACACAGACAGAGAGATGCTGATATCGAGTGAGACAGTATGACATTCGTAAGATGTTCTTCCTGCATGTCCCACCAGACATCGACTAAGCTCATTTGTGTATGTACATGCAACTAAGTCATCTTAAAATCCACATTGTTTACAACAGTTGGTTTACAGATTAAATTTTTATTTACTAAAATCCAATTCAAAGATTAAATTTTTTTTTAAACCCAGTAATCCTCTTTCAAGTTTAATTCCCAAAGAGTTGGAAAATGGTACTTTTAATGTATTTTCATTATGTATAGTTTTTCACTGCGAGAAAAACATGGATTGTCATGTTCAGACATGAATTTTTTCATCAGATCTGGAAATAAATTCTTAAACAGCCAATAGTAGCTTTACTTGATTGTGAAACTTCTTTTGTTTCGTTACCCTGGGACAAGTACAGATCAAAGACTTTGATTAGTAAAATTATTAACATAAAGATGTAAATATGATTTATATAATCCAATTGTGAATATCTATATACAATGTATATCTACAGCAGTGTGTACACAAACAATATACAACTATAAAAAATAATGTACATAATGAAGCACATACAAAACAGGTCAATAGTAGTTGGTCCATGTGTAATTAAACATGGGAATTCTGTAACGATTCAGAAGCATCATGGTAAATTATTGCCATCAAATTACTATAAAGAGAGAAAGATATTTACTTTTCATGGCCGATAGATAACATGTAGAAAGAAGTTTATAAAAAATGCTGAATAACAGTATAAAAAATAGTAAATGAAAAAAAAGATTATATTCAGTATTATATTGTAGATTTGTTATCATTTTGTATATATAAAACATAAAGAAATCATTGAAATTTACCCCATTTAAAAAAAATACATATTTTTTATTTGTGTATAATTTCGTGAGATGAAAAAAATAGATTCTAATCATTTCAATAATTTTATGTTTGTCTCAAAGTTTGTCAGAGATATCACTTTTATATTAATATATGTGCTTAGATACCATGGATAGTGTTGGTTCATAAGACATCGATGGATAAAATATAATGTAACCAGATTCTCTGTGGTTCAAATACCTGTATAAGTGTACATAATGTTATGGCAAAAATAGGTCAGGTTGTAAAAAAATCTTTAGTCACACATATATTTATGGATCACACAAATTACAATCACATAACTGTGGTTAGATCATACACATATAAGACAGTCTATGGCTATAGATAGATGGTAGGCACTAGCGGCTGGTGGGAGAATATTTCTATGTGTCATACGATGTGTGTCTACCCAGATTGTGACTCCCACAATGGACCTTGCAGAGAATAAAGAAGAATAGTCAAACCTGTTAATTAGCATCGTGTCGATAAACAAATTTCCAGATTAACAAATCTCTCTTCAAGAGCAATTTCTTCTACATATGCAGCCTTATAAAATTCCTTTTTCAGACATGTCCAGATGACTAGCATAAACCTTATTACACAAGTCCTCAGAGTTTGTAGCTTGTCCTTCTTGAAATGTTTATTATGTTTACTTTTTTTGTCAGTTTTACTCAGTTCCAGTTTGTAGCTGGTTCAGAATTATAGCCCTCAAATGCTTCTAGTCAATAATGACTACCATCATTGGATTTTTGCTTGTCCTCAGCACAATTAAGTAGTCTTGGGCTAGCGGACTAACGTGAATTTTGAAGGCTGCATAAGTGGAGATGTTCCCAACAGACTTGTCCGGAAAGCAGAGTGTCCAGGCTAACAAGGTTTCACTGTCTACTTTTACAGAAACTTGGTCATGTTGTGGTAGTAAGAAATACTACTTGTGCAATCAACATCATATTACTACAAAACATTCAGTTTTCTCAAAACATCACTCTTGCAGCATATTTACTATTTCATTTTACAAATATGCATTTGATGACTTGTAAATTTCTACACAAAATGTATTAAGTTTTATTTGTAAGGGTAAACCTATGGCAGATCTGTGATATGTGTCTATGGTAGATAAAGTGGCCATCTTGGATGAATATTATTATCCCAATTCTGTAAAGATACCAACGATATTCAATGGTGTTTAGGGCTGAATTAGTAATGGGGTAACCAAGAACGAACCACAAAAATAGACAGTTGCGCATCCATTGATGACATCGCAGAAACATGACATCATGACAAGAAGAACATCATGTCCATAATAGGTCATGGCGAAATGAGACGGGAACATTTTTGTCATGACATAGACAATCAGCCACATACAGACCTGCCATAGATCGGAATCATACACAATATCTGATTTGTTCAGGGTTCCTGGCGCAATGTCTCTGGTATCAGTTTGGACGTGTACAATGCTGCATGCTGGGAGTTGAACTTCTGATGTTGTTTCTTTGCAGGTCACAAGGTCGACAGTCACAGTGCGGTATCTAGTCCATTGATATATTGATATACTCTGATATATACACTTTACACAATTCTGCTGGAATGGTTGGAACGCTTGGACTTCTCTGAGCGATGGGAATATTCCGAATATCTGTCCTCGGACAAGGGAGGGAAGCCAGATCTCTTGGAGAGAGTGTCGCTAGCAAATCCATTCATCTCAGCTGGAAGTAAGCATAGATGAACATTATTATAAATGCATAAGAAATATTTGAAACTATTATCAAGAGGAAGTTTCTAAAATAATTCAATACCTAGGAAATGTACAAATGTACGAGAAGAGTATTTGTAGAAGTCTCAATGTTTCACTTGGAGCACCGGCTTCATGACGGTGAGTGAAGTTTGTTTAACACCGCCATCAGAAATATTCCAGCTATATCAATGCTACCTGTGACAAACCTGCGCTTGACTGGATGAGCGCTGTACCACGCCTTCAAGCACGATGACACACAGATATGTCACACACGATTCTCTCTGTCAGCCCTAATGACCAGCATGATCAGTTCATACGAGCTATTCAACTCCACATGGTTCATACGAGCTATTCAACTCCACATAGTTCATACGAGCTATTCAACTCCACATAGTTCATACGATCTATTCAACTCCACATAATTCATATGATCTATTCAACTCCACATGGTTCATACAATCTATTCAACCCCACAGGGTTCATACAAGCTCATCAACCCCAAAGGTTCATTTTGTATAATTATTCTCAACCATAATATTCTCAACAATAAACCAATTAGAAGTTAGGATTTCTACTAGTGAGTCTCAACTAAAACTAAGAAAACACCTGTGACTAGTTCTGCAGACGCTAACTACACACAAGATGACAACATGGAGACTCAAATTAGAGGAATGAAACTGACTGAACACTTCCTGGTGCACTGTAGCTCACCTGAATCAGTTACCTAAGAATTTCTACAGTGGCCAGAAACATATCCTAATGCTTGTTACTAAGCATTAAAAAATTCTTTCCTTGAATTAAAATAAAGATCCTATGGAATGGCCTTATCTGACAATTTCTCTCAAAGAAAAAATATTTATCTTTTGTTTTCATATATCCTGTCCATATATTTTCTTATTTCTTGCATCTGCAAGACAACTCAATATACATATATGACATGGTAAATTTCAAGAAAATGAAATATTTTATTATATGAATTACCTACTGTGACAAAGTAAAAGATTTATTGGTGAAAATATAATATAACACCAGAGTTCAACCAGTCTCGATTATCCACCGAAACAGATTCCACCGAGTGCAGTAGGTAAAACAGCAGTGAAACATATATCAATGGATCACTGAAAATCACTTATGACATCAAGTGCTCGCAAACATGTCAACCATGTCCTACCAGTAGCACAACACCTCACACAATTTGGATAAAACAGTAAGTGTTTCCTGCTGGACCCTGCACAGCTAATACAAATTGAATAGTTTTCCTTTTATGGAAACAACTTTGCAACATCCTTAAAATTCTTTTCAGTACATTTTCTGCTCTCCACTAATCTATTTAAATCAGCTCCCTACACTCATGAAGATCTGGGGTAGAATAGGCCTTCAGCAACCAAGGCTTGCCGTAAAAGGCGACTATGCTTGTCATAAGAGGCGACTAACGGGATCGGGTGGTCAGGCTTGCTGACTTGGTTGATGCATGTCATCGATCCCAATTGCGTGGATCGATGATCATGATATCAATCACTGGATTGTCTTGTCCAGACTCGATTATTTACAGACCGCCGTCATATAGCTGGAATATTGCTGAGTGCAGCGTTAAACAACAAACCAACCAACCAATCCTACACGATCTACCTGATCAGGTAATGATGACACATGTTTCACTGAATATCTCAAAGAAAAGGGATCATCTAATTACAATTCATCTCAAATGTAGTCCCATTTTTAATAAATTTGTAATAAAAACAATCAATTTTAATAAAATCAAACAATCTATTGATTCTGTGTTCAATACAACAGGTTATATGGTAGGGATAAACCTTAAATAAATATATTTATTTTTTACATATTTATTTTTCTAAATCAATCTATTGTGTTCTCTACAATCTAGGAGTAGGTTAAATTGCAGGAGTAAACCTTAAATACTGTATTAATTGTATTTATTTATTTGATATATTTATTTTTCTTAGTCTATTTATTGTGATCTCTACAATCTAGGAATAGGTTAAATTGTTGGGATGAACCTAAAATAATGTTTTAACTGTATTTATTTATTTTATATATTTATTTCACTAAATTGTCCCCAGAATTTTATTGCAATGTGCCAACATATTTCTTTACTTACCATATCTTACCCTCTTATTAATATCCTATGCTCCATACTAATACTATATCTGTATCTAATATACAACTTGCAACAAAAGCCTTCAGACTACTGAAACCACAACTGTCTATATGTATTGAACTTTAATATGTTCCCAGAAAAGAGAATAAAAAGGTTTAACAAAAAAAACAACCTATAAATCAACAAAAACTGTCCATGAAAGTAACAGTAAGACAAGAGTTTCCTTGTCTATCTATACTCCGTACCCAAATCAAAGTCAGAATAACGAGAAATTTGAAAGACAATTAACATTCTTGAATTGCGACAGTTTGTTTTGAGGTCTGGTCACATCAATAGCAAAAGAGCCGCACGAAGAAAATGGCTGCCACCCCAACATTCCAAATAACCTTCCCGTGTTTGTTCAGACTGAGCGACGAGCTTTGCACACCAATGTGATCACAGCTTCCTCAAATACAGAAACACCACGAACTTAGAGCCCGGATTTCTGGGAAATTGACGCACTAATAGTATGCAGTGTATCACTTAAGCAGGCAACCATGTTTTAAAAGACTTGCTTGTTTTACGTTAACATCAAGATCTCAAAAACCTATGTCATGCTTCACATTCTGTCTCAGGGTAACATGGTGACCTATTTCTGATAGACAATATATTAAATTCATGAATATAACAGCATTTGCCTTGATTCCACTTCTAAATGGTTTTGTCAGGGGAATTCTTTAGTGTAAACAATTGAACAAAATGTTTTGGCAGGCATATTGGGAAAAAATCATTATTTTGTTCAAAATTGGAATGTCTTTAAAGTCAAAATTTCCCTTAATTCTGAGGTATTTTAACATTGCAATAATATAGATATACGTCTTAAAGCCTCTTCATGTTTATTAGTCCTGTAAACAGAAATATACAAATTACCTCTATCAGTTACTTCTATTATTTTAACATGAATATGAACATTGTATATTTCAATTTGGCAAGTTTTACGGACATTTGCTCCAGACTTGGGATAGGATATTGACCACTGAGCAGGTCTAGATAAACCCTTGTACTTACACATTTAAGGGAATATCTGCCTGCTTTACCCCTCATATACATACATCCAGCTGATTGAAATCCTAGTAAGCTTTCTTTTGAAAAAATTACGAAAGAAAATGTCACAATTCTTTTGAAAAAGCATTCGGGATGTTTCACAAACCTGTGTTTGGAACGTATGATGCATTGTTAAAACCATAGACATAGATTAGTTCAAGTGTGTTCTTATTTAGTACAAACACTGAATATATACAAGTCTTTAACAGTCAATTAAAGTTGGAAGGACATGAAGTCATCAATCTATTATGGATACAACTTGTTTATTATTTGTAACAATGTTTCAGGGCTACTTCTTGCTCCTTCATCAGGTGAATACTGAGTCAGTGTACGGAGGTGATATATACCGTATTCAACGTAATAAGCGCCCCGCTCTAATAAGCGTAAGTGTTAATATATTGGCTAGTGAACAATCGCATTTAGCACCCCTTCCGATCGATCAATGTACACAAGCCTTATTTATCCGTGTATAATATGTGTATTATATGCATTCTTGATTATGGGAAATTAAATTCTGGAAAAATATATCTGTCGTATTTAAACATTTCAGGCTGTCAGAATAAACCATAAAATTTACGATCTTTCAACTCTGTTGTTTTTCACCAAAATAATATTCTGATAAGAGCCCCCTATTTCTAATTTTGAGAGTGCCCTGGGTGCTTATTATGTCGAATATGGTACAAGCCAATAGGGGTGACTATTGGTCTGGAAATCACTATTGCGATAACTATTGATATTGAAAGAAACTACATGTATTGCAATAAATATTGATAGCTTTTAGTGTATCATGGATGGATTGTAGAGCTGAATTAAACCTTGGAACTGAAGTTTCCATTCAATGTGACAACCATAATAACATATAAAAAGTAAAGTTTGAGACATGACTGATTTGTATTTGTATCTTTACCCTAATAATTTAAGAAAAATAAACTTCCACATTACCATCATACTATGTGTAAATAACTACCACTCATGATCAAAAGAAAAACAAATTTGAACAGCATTGCATGTATTTTATTGAAACTGTAAAACTGGGCCCACTTACACAAAGCGATCTTAGTGCTAAGATGATCGTAACTCCCATACTTTAACATAGGCTTATGATAGTCTTAGCGCTAAGATGGCTTTGTGCAAGTGGGCCCTGGTCAAAAGCAAAACAAGCGTGTTTTGGTGACTCAATCACATGATATGGTAAGTACAAAGGAAACTATCGATATTCCTTACCGAAATCGATACTATTGATCGGAACCTGATTTAACAATCAATTTATTGACTTTAAGTGCTTACCAATAGCAATATAGCAATATTTCAATTTATCGTGACAACCCTACAAGCCAACATGCTAAACATATATTGAGTGAATATTATACACACTTTAGCATGTATAATATTAATCCATACACTTATTCAGTATTCACCTGATGAAGGGGCAAGAAGATGTCATCCATAATTAAAACATCATGATGACATCATGTTATTGTTGTCGTTGATTCTGAGCCAGGAATTCACTGGACGTTCTGAACACCTTTTAACAAGTACAACTGACACACATGTAGGTCATTTTGCCCAAGTCAGAGAGATCTCTCGAATCTGTTGATTCTCATGATTTCTCCATTATGAGATCACTATAGGAGGAAGAGGGAGACATGAGGCAGGTGAAAACAAGAAATAATAACAGAAAACCAACGTGGAATAAAGTGGGCGCAGAGTGGATGCAGTGACAGGAAACGGCATCAAAGCATATATGTCTGCATGGGCTAAACATTGCACACCCATGCATGGGTGCACCAGTTGGTCAGATGTGGCACGGCAGCCGACCAATGGAAAACTCCTCACTCCCCTGCAGAAGCAGCAGGTGGGAGCTTCTGGAAGTCGAGTCAACAGATTCTCCTGATTTCTCCATCACAAGTTTCATGTATTCACTGAATGTGCAGTACATAACCATGAACAGGATTTGTTTTGTACTGCTGTTACATCCTTGATTCAGGAAATGGAAGTCCTGAAATACTCTATCAATTGGGGACTGGACATCATAGAACTGTTGTGTTATGTCTTCTGTACCATATGGGCAGGCACAGGTGGCCCAGCTGCCTAAGGCACTGATACTTCGATGTACAGAGCTGCAGCCCTCAGTAGAGCAAGAAACCTTTAATCCATGCTAATGATTATTCTTGGTTTGTCAGCACTGATATAACTGAAATACGGTTCAAGAAACATTAAACTCAACTCACTCACTCACTCTACATCATCACAACAATACAAATTATGCATATCAGTGACACTGTCAGTTAATAACAGGTTTATATTCAATATCATTTCCTGCAAATATATTTTTCAAGTTTATTTAATAATTAGAATTATTCAAAGGAATTAGAATAAAAGAAAGAAAGATATGGTTAACAAAGGGTGTAATTAATGAATTAATTTTAGATGTTGAGAAAGTTCATTTTACTACAATATTTGCGGTACAACACAGGCTTAGCAGAGACTAGTCACAGTGAGTATTGCTATTGTATTCTAACAATGACAATGACATCACAGTCAGACTTTTCAGTAGCGTCACAATAGTCCACACAATAGTTTACACAGTATCAGCGGGCAAGTGTCCCGACATACAGATCAGGTTGAATACCTCCAACATTAAGGATTGGCACACCTGGCTCTCAACTAAATCATCAGGATGTAACGATGCTCTGGTTAATTACAATACAAGACAATGCCACTGGCTCCTCGTAATGTTGTTGTCTTTGTACATGTATCCTACCTTGTGTAAACATATCCATACCATATACATAAATTCACATATACATATTCATTATTCAAGGGCAAGAAGTTGCCATGAAACACCATTACAAACAAGACAAAAAGTGAGCAGGGCTGACTAATATCCCGACTTCGACTCCCAACATATTTCTAAGTACAAAATAATAAATATCAATGAGAAAATTCCCCCAAACAGAACATTTGTCTTTTCTTGTTAAATATTGTAACATGTCTATAGCATCAAGTGATGCGACAAAGTTGAAATATTAATTCATATCCTCTACATCTTGATGTCATAACTTGAATCTGCTTCAATTCCTCACAGTTGGAGAAACTGGTACAATTCCCCGAATCTGCAATAAGTCAGGCTTAAAGAGACATTTATTTACGAAAGAATATCACATTATTAGAGCCTACATCCATGCATGGTACTGAGTGTTTTAGTTTTTGTTAGTGGACATTACAGAGAGACAATGATAGTACAATACATTAACTGTGGTGAGGTACCATGCTGTCAGAGAATAGGGTGGGGTTTCACAGTGACAAGACTGCGCTGATGCAGGTTAAAATTGGCTTGTGCAGGCTAAGTGTATGAGTAGACTGCACGGAGTGCTCTTAAAATACTCCACAAACAAACAAGTCTTTGATAGGCATCTTGAAGTTGGAAGACCACGAATACATGACACTTTTTTTGGACAGGAACTTCTTTTATTCTTTGTCATGACATTTCCAGTTTGTTGTATGAGGATCTTGAGCCGTCTTGTACTTGCCTGATGTAATACTCATCGGCTTCGTCATTATAGTGTTATCTTTGTGCAATAATCCTATCTCACTCGCTTTGTCATTATAGTGTTATCTTTGTGCAATAATCCTTTGTCATCAGCTTCATCATTATAGTGTTATCTTTGTGCAATAATCCTTTGTCATCAGCTTCATCATTATAGTGTTATCTTTGTGCAATAATCCTTTGTCATTGGCTTCATCATTATAGTGTTATCTTTGTGCAATAATCCTTTGTCATCAGCTTCGTCATTATAGTGTTATCTTTGTGCAATAATCCTTTGTCATCAGCTTCATCATTATAGTGTTATCTTTGTGCAATAATCCTTTGTCATCAGCTTCGTCATTATAGTGTTATCTTTGTGCAAGAATCCTTTGTCATTGGCTTCATCATTATAGTGTTATCTTTGTGCAATAATCCTATCTCACTGGCTTTGTCATTTTATTGTTATCTTTATACATTCATACCACTTTGTGTTGTGTAAACATATCATGATTGATAAATATATATGTTAACTCTCTGTGCCTATTCAGCTCCCTTAGTTCTCCTCCCCTATCCCATCGGCATCTATTCCAAATCTCAAAATTCCCAAATTCTATATAAGCAACCCCTAAAACCCCCCTCTTGGGTTGCACAGACCACTTTCGCCCCTTTCGGAAACACATTAAATGGCCTGGCCGGGCCCGTGTGCGAAATACGCATCAGTCGGAAAGCGCACGTTAAATCTCCAAAGCAAGCAAGTAAGCCTATTCAGCATTCACCTGATGAAGGATCAAGAAGTATACCTTACTATGTTTACAACGAACACACTTATAATGAACTGACGGATGTAACAAACTGGTTTTTTTAGGTCCCGGCCATTTGCTGTATATTTTAGTCAAAATGCTTATAACGAAATACATTTTTAAAGAACTAAAATTAGTGGTTCCTTTGAGTTTGTTATAACCATAGTTTACTGTAGCTCTGAAATGCCATGACAAAGAATAAAAGGAGTTGCTATCCATTTTATTATTCACAAACCAATAGCTAATAAATATCAGTTGCTTCAAATTTATACCATTTATATCAAATCTAAACAAATCGAAAAGAAATTACTTTCATTTTGTACGATGTTCATGTTTACAACCTGTTTATAATGAAAACTGCAGATTGCCAATCTTCAATAAGGGGCAGGATTGGCTAACTTATAACAAAGAAAGTGTGTTGACATCATCTATGCTATGCCAGAATTACTGTGATGTTGAAGTGTGGATGTATTTATCCCAGGACACAGTCACTGCTTAATGTAATATTAAAATTTGTGTCCTTTTGTTTTAATTTTCCAGTAAATGTAGATTTTGATACCTGAAAATATCATTTGTAAGTGAATACAGTGTGAAGTCAAATCAATGTTTGAAACCTCTTTATTGACAACAGCAGGTTTATCCCAATTCTACCATGACGAAGTGAGGAAATAAACACAAACTATCCGGTGATAGAGCAGCTCTTGTTGTCTTTGTCAGGTTTTCTCTAAAAACATAATTGTCCCACTGTCTATAAATATTCTCGGACTCACAACATCATATTTGACAATGATATTTAAGAGAGTAAGTATAGTTTAACGCCTCTTTGAATAGTAGTTCAGCTACATCACGATATGTCGACTCGGTATTGGAGGATTTAAACCTGTAGTGATGAAAATTGCGCACCTTACGCAACTGGCCAATCCGTTCCCCAGATTTATTTAGTAAAATTGCTTTCTGCTCGGGTTTGTGAAAGATGTTCTTTCAAAAATATATATTTCTGGGTCATCAGCAAAATCATGGTCTAACTTTAATTTAAGAATGCAGGATTCTAAAAGTTCATGGTAACAGAATAATGAATTTTACTGTTCCTGAAAGCAGGGGCTATAGACTTAAATAATCAGGATAAGGTGAGAAAACAATTGTATCATTATTCTCAGTCAAACAGGTTAAGATACCAGGTTTACACCATGGGAAGACATATTGGTTTTTTCCCATGTCCATAATGTGCAAGGAAATGTGATTCCGTGGCATTTTTTTCTTTTGTTTATGTTTCCATCAACAGGAAAAACATTAAGCCACGCCCCTAACTGACTACTGTTTCCTGATTGGCTTATATCAGGATGGGCGGGGCATGTGCTGCATTAATGCACTGAACGATGTCACTGAATGTGTGTTAATGATTAAAGAAGCAGCTGTAAAGTTATTGTTGTTGACATATTGATTTATAAAAATTGACTTCAATATTTGTTTGTGTTTAACTCAATGTGCACACGTTTTATTCATCATACCTTCATAAAGGCAAACAATATTGAAGTCAATTCTAAGTAACCCACTGTTCTTAATCTAATCTCGGATTGAGTTAAACATTGGTGTCAAGATATGACAAAACATGGTATCACTTGCATCATGTCACGATTAGTTTGTCAAAACAGTTAATCACATAAAACTGAAAAGATAGAACTGTTAAAAAGTTTGAAGTGATAATCATTCAGTCTTGCCACAATCATGATCTACTCATTAACCATCTTATCTCAACTGTCTCAGCCAATCAGCTACAATCAGCAGAGATAATCGTCCAATCAAAACTTGCGATCTGTAAGGTAGACCAGGTAGAATTTGTTAAGAATTAATCAAGTACTGGTTTTCAACAACCATTTGGTACAATATAGTTAAAAAGTTACAAACGCATACGGCCAGTGAAAATGAACATCGCAAATACCCATTTACTAATTGGTCTTTCTGACAAAACAGTTACACCCAAAATGACTTTAAACAGTAAATTCCGTGAAAATCTTTCTTCTGTAGGCATAAGGGAGCAGAATGTTTGTTTCCAAAGACAATTTAAGTAACCATGGTAACATGAATGACTTCCATTTCATAAACAACATACAGGCTAAATAGAGGAACAAATATGACAGTTATTAATAAAAGAAAAAAACGTGAATCTGAACAAGCATTAGAAAATTAAAACTATGAACGTATGTCATTCCTAATGTGTTAGAAGGCACATTGTTACAAAGAAACTCAAGTTGGTGTTACAACAGTTATATTAATACCTACTGAATATCTATTTTCCAGCTGAAATAGGAGTGTAGGTAAGGCATTACTTCAATGTCTGATATCACTGTTCTCTTTGGAATGTCCACATATACATATACATACACATACAAAAGATCATAATCCTGTAATAATTACTCTTTTATACAGGAAGGACAAGGAATGGCATTAGGGCTTTTCAAATGTTAAATCATAAAGCTAGGAATTTTGTTACATGTTGTTATGAAAATTACTGTCCACATGAATGATAGCTAACCATTACATTAATTTTTTTAGTTATGACATGATGAAATACAGACGTATAGGTAATATGAATGAAAAAGGAAATCTTTGACTTTCAAGAGTAAATAAATCTATGATCCAAGATAAATATTTCAACATTACGTTTCTACTAATTTTACCTTCCAAGAAAATCATCTTGGGTCAAAGGCTTGCTCATGAATAAATATTAGAAATAATGCTTTTTCTTTTTGGTATATTTTTCAGCCTTACCGCTACATTTAATATTGTTTGAAGTCCCAAACATGCAATTCTTTGGAAGCAAGATGATATTAATGACACAATCTGTGAACTAACCCATTAAAACCACTTACATTTCTCTTTCTTCCCATACACCTCCGGTAAGAGCTTAGCTTGTTTGGCTGCCAGAACGAACGCTAGCGTAGCCAGTATCACAGCATCAAAGATCAGCACTATAGCAAGAATATACGCCCATCGCATTCCACAGGTACCGATATCGTAACTTCCACTGTTGGAGCAGATGTCCTGGACGAGGCGGGAGTCGAAGCCGTTGGGGTAGACGATGCAGCCAAGGATGAGGAAGAGAGCTGCAAAATGATAAATAGCATAAACGGGGATTTATCAAGACTTGCACAAGTCTCTGAGGAAATTAATATTTTTCAAATCATAATTCCTTGATTATATATAATTTATAATAAGAACAAGTTATCCCTATAAAAGACTGGCGTCCTGTCCACTTATCTAGACTTGACAACTTTAACCACTTTAAAATTTGTAATTTTGACATATTGTTTAAAAGATTTCTGTTTAAGTCATATAAAAATCCCTTGGATTAGTTTTATTGTCAAAATTATCTTTACCGTCAGTTGTATAAAACAACCTTGCCATTCCGATTCTATTTTTTCATCTGAATTTTCAGTTTTTAAGTTTGACGGATCCATGAACCAAGTGAAATATATGTAAGGCCTGTCACTGAACTGTTTAATCTAATTACTACCACCAGAGTCTATTATATGGTCTCTGCTATCACTGACACTCCGAATGCCTCTCTGGCTCATGGTATTACCAGGGCTATTTGCTTATTTAGGCCTGAGGACTCTCAGTCAAGCCTTCTAGGGGTCTCTGACTCATGAACATGTTGTCCTAGTGTGACTACAGTACCAATAGCCAACACATTTACAGTACTGGGCCCCGTTCCACAAAGCGATCTTAGCCCTACGACTACCGTAGGCCTGTGTTAAAGTATGGGAGTTACGATCATCTTAGCGGTAAGATCGTTTAGTGGACCGGGGCCCTGGTGGGGCCTTATGGTAACTATAGATGGGATTATCTTCGTTGAAACTCAGTGATTGAGGGATGAAAATGGGACATGGACAAAATACATTTTCGTTTATCCGACATACTTGTTAATCCAACAAAATCATATATGCAACCAGCCATGTCGGATTAATTGGTCTAACAGTCTCTAACAGTATACGTTCATGTGATCATGGCTGCATTTTTTTATGAATTTAATGAAATTAAGTAGCCATACTTGTTTGCATCCCAATGCAAATTATATGAGCCCACTTAATTTGTATACGTAAGAGTTTGCATTGGTTACACGATGCTAGTTAATGTAGTAGCTGTAGTAAACATAGCTGATGTAGGATCATGATGTAGTATGATACATGTCCTATAACATGACCTACTCATTCACAGCTCCCACTGAGGACAATGTCCAGTCACCACCCAACAGATTAGGGTCAAAATAAGAGACAAATGATGTTTAACATTACTTTCAAGATTGATGCACGTATATAACGATGCACTATCATCTGGACCAATCTGCAAGTAATATTTATAAGTGCCCCCATACCATGACCTAGACCAATGACCTAGACCTAGTGCAGACGTTTTGTGAAAATTGTGCACTTCGTGAAAAAAGCAAGAAACTTGCCACAGTAGAAAGTAATGATAGGAGGAATGAAATTCTAACATATCTCATATGAACATGACCCTTTACCATTATCTATGCCAATCTGTAAGTAGTCCTTATAAGTGCCTCCTACCATCATCTAGATCAATCTACAAGTAGTCTTAATAAGCGCCCCCCACCATCATCTAGACCAAACTGCAAGCAGTTTTTATAGCACCCTCTACTATCATCTAGACCATCTAGATCAATCTGTAAGAAGTCTTTATAAGCACCCCACCATCATCTAGATCAATCGTCAAGTAGTTTTTATCAGCGCCCCCTACTATCATCTAGACCAAACTGCAAGAAGTCTTTATAAGCGCCCCCACCATCATCTAGAACTTCTAGACCAAACTGCAAGTAGTTTTTATAAGCGCCCCCTGCCATCATCTAGACCAAACTGCAAGTATTTTTTATAATCGCCCCCACCATCATCTAGAACATCTAGTCCAAACTGCAAGTAGTTTTTATAAGCACCCCCTACCATCATCTAGACCAAACTGCAAGTAGTTTTTATAATCGCCCCCACCATCATCTAGAACATCTAGTCCAAACTGCAAGTAGTTTTTATAAGCACCCCCTACCATTATCTAGGCCATCTAGACTAAACAGCAAGTATTTTTTTATAAGCGCCCCCTACCATTATCTAGACCAATCAGGAAGTTATCTTTATAAGCACCCCTACCATCCTCGACCAATCTGCAAGAAACTTTGACAAAACATTTTAAATATGGGACATTTTAGAGGGAGGGTGTGTAAAAAGCAGTTTTATGTTGACAGTGTCCACTGCTCTACAGGGAGTCACAAGACTCATAAATCCAAGCTTTTGCAGAAGAATTATGACAAACCAACTGTTTTTGTGAGACAAAGACGCCTCTATATGTGCAAATAAAACTCAGGTAATCCGTCAAGGCAGCCCATTTACTTGAGAAGATTCCTGCAAATAGGGCTGTGAAAAAAACGGCCTCAGGTGATATATTTTGGGGCTTTTTTGTTTGATTTGAAAAATCCCTGTCAATACTGTGTAGTTTTGATACGAGAATGCAAGGCCAAACTTCAAAGGCATTCTGGAAATAATATTATCCCAATAAAAAGGTAATTTAAAAGCAGCTTTGAGTGTTTGACAGTTTAAAATGTGGGCTGATTTGTGTAAAGAATTAGATGAAATGTACGTGCAGGTTTTTGTTTGAGATGAAAATATGGGCAGTGGTTGAAACAACACTTAATCTCATTTGCTTGTTTCACTGCCAGATCACTGCGTATTTCATACATACACAAGTGTTGACGTAGAAAACACAATAAAATATTAAACAATGTTTAGGAACAAAAAACAAAACAATGACAACATAATTGTTATTTGTTTGAATGATATGCATATAGAGAAGTGAAGCCAATGATTGGAATCCATTTTCCATCCTTCTGTTATATTATTCATATGTTTTTATTTACAAATTCATTTGAATAACAAATTATTAGATCACGGTTTGAATGACACCTGAAAAGGATTATGAGTACAAAATTCAAAGGACATATGTTTTACAAGTTTAACAGGAGTTTATCATTGTTATCATACCTAAAGTTTGTTATCAGGTTATCAACATCAACAATACTGCTAATTTCAACAGGGGATTATACAAGTCTGGTTAAATACTGAGTTGGTCTGGGCCAATTAGTTGTCATTCATAGCCCACATTACTCTGTTACTCTGCTTCTTGAAGTATAACATGCATATATATACCAACCTAGCAGTATGAGATTAACCTAGTTACACAATGTCACAGTTTCACACTAATTATGCCTTTTGTATTTTTATTAGTTGGTTTACCAAAATTTGGGCCTAAGATTCAATGTACATGATGTAGGTAGGTGAAAAAAAAACCACAATAATTTTCATCATCCATATTAATAGTGCTACTAATAAATGAAAAACAACCAAGTTTCACATTACAAGATACTGAAAGAAAATTGATTGTTTTTTTTGTAAAATAAAGTTTTTATAATTACTAATCACCATTTGTTTACAAACAGTGGTTCTTGTGTAGTGTTTTTTCATTTTGCCTAATTGCAAAAGAGTTGACAAAAACAATTTGGTCAAAAGTCAACTACCGTTGCTTGGCGAAAATAGCAACTACCACTGCTGGACCAAAAAAGGTGGCATCTATGTTCGACAAACGTAAGCTATGATGAAAAGCAGTGAAAGATTTAAGCACTCTAAGAATTTTTATGAATACCGCCCCAGGTTCCGAATGACAAGCAGGTAACCTTAGAAAGGTTCTCACTGCAAAGCAGGTAGCCTAAACGAGAGTAGTAAGTATGTTAATTTGTCACAAGCACAGGTGGCCACAAGAGCAAACACCACAAAGAACCTAAGCGCTACCCCACACCCATGGTGACTAAATGGATGGGTTGGTCAGGGTCGCTAACTTGGTTGATTTCATCGTATCCCGGTTGTAGGATCACTGCTCATGACACTCACTGGATTGTCTGGTCCAGACTTTACTTACAGACCCCCAGAATCCCCACAAATACGTAAAGTAATGAAGGACAAATCCTATGAAGAAATATAAATGATTAGAATTCTCTTGTTTATAGTTTTCACATACTTTCAAGAATGACAGTTACAAACTTGATTGAACAAAGTGGGGTCACGAATGATTCTTGTTTGGGAATAAATTGTATAACATTGTACAAAATTCAATTTTTTTTATGTTCCACTTTTTTCTCTTAGTAAATGTTCATGAATTTAAATTTACTAATCAGCATGACATGAAAAAATAATTTTACAACAATAATCGTTAACGTTATGTGTTCTATGATTATACACACACTTCTATTCTTAGATATCTATTTTCAAAATCCTCTACAACATAACATGGTAATAAAATAGCACTTGTATACTCTGCAAAGAATTAAAACAAAAAATAGATTCTGAATCTAGTGTTCCTACTCACCAAATATTTTATGAGAAAATTTACAGAACAACAAATTCAGACAACACAAACTCCAAAAAATAATGCTATTTCCTGATTTTTTAAATGTACGTTGTAAAGACAAGGCTATTGTGTGAGACAAACACCAGCGCTGCCAAATATAACAGCCCGTGTGTTAGGGGAGCGATGTTTAGCACTGACTTAAAGCCCCAGGCAGAAGAATAGGGGAGAGATTAAATCTAATTTACACAAAGATTGTCACTGAAGCTAAAGACATCAACACTCACAGACACATCGTCAAGGTTACAAATGTTATTCTTTTATCTTATTTGTCAATAAAAAAGTATATGTGTTCAATCACATTTTAAGCTTTTGAAAAAAAGATTCTACATATTTTTACAGTTTATACAAACAAAAACTTAGAGACGTGGCATAACTTCACAAATAATATATCATAAGGCCACAATTAATATATTAATTATTAAATTTTCTTCAAAATTAAAAAAATGTCCACTGGGATGTATGTTTTTGTATATTTTATATTATTTAAAAGCTTCTGTGTTCATTAATTGTCAACAGATATGCTTAACCTGGAAAAGAATATTTTGTAGGACCCTGTACATGGAGTATTTCATGAAACAAGGGGTGGTGGCATAGCCTTGTGGTTAAAGAATTCGCTCATCACACCATAGGCCTGGGTTCGATTCCCTGCAAGGGTACAATGTGTGAAGCCCATTTCTTGTGATATCTCCACATGAAATTGTTTGAATACCGGTAGTGCTAAAAGTGGCGTTAAAACATACTCATTCATGGAGACAGATAGCTAAACTCAGTGAGCTGCGATATTTGGGAGTTGGTGTCATCATAGCTGTAGCCCATTTCTCATGTCCCCGGTCCTGATATTGCTGGAATATTGCTAAAAGCAGCGTAAAATCCAAATCACTCACTCCTCAAAAAAAGAATGACGGGAACACACATGGTGAATTTTCACATATCTCGAGAGAATGATGTGGGGTCGGCGATGATGCAGGCAAGGATGAAAATCTAATAATGAATTATTATGGCAGGTATTCGTTATCCATAGGATTCAGAACAAAGTTAACAAAACTTCATACAAAGTATGTGTAATCTTGATGTCACGCTTTCAAGGTATTTTGATGTAATACAGACAAGAGACTAAATGATGAGTTGAGGTGAAATGGGGTTCAACATTGCACTCAAGATTATTGCACTCATAGTGACGTGCATGTGTAAGCAAGGATTATATCCTACCTAAATATTATCCCTGGGGAAGTTTTACTCTAGAGTATAGTATCCTACATTAGTGCCACAATGGTATGGGTTCAAATTCACTAGGGGGAATCATCCTGACACTAGAGAATTTCATCCCCGGGATAAAAAATAGGGTAGGATAATACTCTCTCTTACACATGCATGTGTGTGAGTGTGTGTCTGCTTGTATTAGGACTACTGGACGACTTGCAGGTTTTATGGTGCTAGCCCACTGAGATACCATGCCAGTATAACATGGATACCCTACAGTCAGGGTGGCCTCTAGTTTATGCGGCTTTTCAATTCCCATAACACTGTGTAGGAATTCAGTTCAGCCTGTTTTTGCACATTTTATCCCTTTTTGTTATCAAAGAAGTATAAGCTCACATGAAGAAAGACATAAACAGTAACATACATTCAGACACAGTATATGACTTCCCTTAATGCAAAGCTCCAGGCAGGGTACCATCTTTTAACGTCTTTTGGCATGTGGATTGAACCACCATCCTTCTCAGTAGATATAGTCACTCACTGTTCTTATTGATGTCTTTGGATACTGTGAGAATCTCCACAAGGATCCTTCTTTAAGGGATGCTCAATTGTCTCTACAGGCATATATCACTTCTGGATAATAGTCAGTGAGTGAGTGAGTTGGGTTTAATGCCTGCTTTGAACAGTGTATTACAGTATGTCAGTTGATGTGGGAGGAAAGCTTGAAATAGTGCAGGCCTTAGATGTTTCCCACGAGCACAGGTATGGTGCTGACAAACCTTGAAACATAATCAGGGCAAACCAGGATTCAAACCCACAACCGTCTTGCTCACCTTAGGGATGCAACTTTGCACAGAGAGTTGACGACTGGTATGAATAATATAAAAAGACTAGTACATTTGTATATATATATCATCAGACTGGCACAGAAAATGTTTGATCTTGTATACTCTTGTATACAGGATAATCAAAATGGCGTTTAACGTTGTGTTCAAGATTATCCCACGTATATGGCGACGTACATTTTGTGTCTGTGTGTGTGTGTGAGAGAGAGAGAGAGAGAGAGAGAGAGAGAGAAAGAGAGAGAGAGAAAGAGAGAGAGAGAAAGAGAGAGAGAGAGAGAGAGAGTGTGTGTGTGTGTGTGTGTGTGTGCCACTGAGTTTACTAAACTTGAGTCAGATTTCACATAAATTAAGTTGAAATACCATTCTGCTGATCAAATTGTAACACGAATGAAACATTCACCCTGAATTTTATTGGAATTAATGTTTTTGAACAAGTATATGTAAAAGAGTGAGGAAGGCTTATCATGTTCGTGCTGCTCTATCAGTTCAATGAGGAAGCCTAAAGGATGAATGGACGGTCACTTGAAGCAGTGGCAGTGTCAGTAACAACAGTGATTATGTTGGCATCACTTGTAACTGATGTCACACTATTATATACTACTCAAAACAAGTTAAAGAACAACCAATGTTTTCATGTCATGCCATGACAGATTAACTATAGTAATATGAAAGAATCAGGTGTTCTTTAACTTCTTTTGAGTCGTATGTCTTAGTGCAAAGTCAGCTATACTGGAAGTGGTCATAAAATCACTAATACATGCTCTATCTCAGATGAATAACATGTGAGTTATTGAGCACAAACAAAACAACAGTTATAATGCAGTATGTCAGCTGAATGTGTTTGCAAAGCTGAATGTGAGACAGTTCAGAGATATGTATCACTACAACCCACAAACACAAGGATGGAGCAGATAATTTGGGATTTGCACTCATAACCAACAGATCCTGTCACAGCCAAGGGGTGCAACTCTGCAGAGAATGTCAGTGCTTTAGACCACATGTGCCCCTAATACAACATGTGTCCCTTATACAACATGTATAGATGTATAAAATTAATTTTTATAAAGTCCTTGAAAAATCAGCTGTTGAGACATGACATTGATGAATGAACAAAACACTCTTGCTCTCTTATTTCATTCTTTTAGTATATAAAAGTACATTTTTTTAATTCGATTATTTATTACACATTAAAAAACATTTTACTCATACAATGTGCTATGTTAAATGGTGTGTAGCACTGTAATTGAATGCTGTATGTGACAAAGATTTATTAAGTTATCTATTTTCCATCTCTTTCAATAATTTTTTCCATCAACTTGCTATAACATTACTTTATTCATATTTTTTACATGATCTTAATTACATATGTAAAATAACTAACAGTAAACCTATCAGTTATCTAAAAGAATGTAAATCACATTAAACCATCACCACTAGTGTTTAATTATCAGCACAAAGTCATCTTGTCCCTATAACTATTGTAAATCTATGTTAAAGTATATGAGTTACTATAACGGCCATATCAATGATACCTGTTGGTCCAGGTCGTATTACACCTTAAGCATCTCAATATAACGTTTCAACACTGTCCTCATATCAATTTACAATGTAAGCGACACCTAAGTAATAAAACTAATTAATCAGCTGACGTTTATACACCGAAATGGCGCTACAGGTAAACATCAAAGATGCCGCCAACAGGTATTCCGTTATACTCACCGCCGATCACCTGGAGCCATCCACAGATTCTCAGAACAGTAGCGGTGTTCAAGAACAGGAACAGAATCAGACACAAGCAGCAGATGAGGAACAACAGCGCCGAGGCACCAACGAAGAAAGCGGCGGCTCGAAATGAACCGTTCAGAATTGTATCAAACTGGATAAAGTCTCCCGTACACTCGAAATCATTAGAACCAGAATTCTCTTCGCAAGCTTGGTATAGCCCGAAAAAGCCGGCCTTGTTACTTTCTCCCGTATCCCCGATCCACTGGGGTTGAATAAAAGCCACGATATTCAGAATGGCAAAACAAATGGTAAATATGGCCCATAACACTGCAACTGCACGTGAATTTCGTACATAGTTTGTGTGGTATATTTTCGTCACCTCGGTCGAATACTCAATTTCTCTATCCATTTCGGCAACTTCTGTGTTTCGTCGCCTTAGAACTTGGAATAAAACTCACACGTTTTCTGTAAACTATTCCAATGGCGTTCTCATCAAATCAAATCCAGGTGTAAGGTGTAGTGTTGGGTGAGGCAACCCGTATTTCAACCACAATTCCAGTGCTTTGCCCACCTTGCTTGAATGAAAACCAGTGTAATATTATTAGCTACGGGAGACCGGTCTGACAGGTTTCAGAATAGCAGACAACAAGCCAGGTGAAAATGCTGTTTACCTACAACTGGTGTTAAAGCTGTTGACTTCCCCCGCGTTCGTCTGCTGTCCGATAGGAGTTTAGCAAAGAAAAACACATTTTGTTCATCAATAGATTTGTACTGAGATCTTTAAGCACGAAATCGAAGTGACAAAATATTACAGCATTACATGTAAATAATTAATAGCTTAGTGACATAGTTTCAAGATCAGAGATAAGACATGCATACACAACTTTCTCATTTTAATTTACTTCAGAAAACACAAGTAAATTTACCCTGCGTATATAAGAAATTAAAAATAATTTACATAAACATATAGGTACACTATAATAAAAACGTCACTTAAGAATTATACATACATATATATCATCTTTGAGTGCTTAAATGTTTCAAAATACAAATAGATTACACTTCTAATTCTTTTTAGAGAACATCCAGATGAAATTCTTGGAGTTGATGCAAAGTTTGATTAATGTATTTAAGAACTGACTTCAGTGTGTTTTGTGCGTAACATTGTTTCTTTTGCGAATAAATCTGATTGGTCTCTTAAATCACATATAGTGAAACGTAGACATTGTTCACTGTATTACGTATTCAGTTATACGCAAAGAGTTAGTTGGCCAAATTTATTTATATCATTTCTAGAAGCATTCCGTTTCATCCTCGTGATGGGGGGCTTAATGTTCAGTGGTCCATTCATATAATTTTCACCGCTATTTTGCCCTTTACGCCCAATTGAATCTGTTTGATAATAGAAACTGGTTATTTTCTGGCGGTGACCATTTATATGTAAAATAAAGTTCACGGCGTGGATGGAAGAATGACATCATTGTATTTCGTGTCAATAGTGAAAATGTTGCTATCCTTGTAATAATGGAGTAATAGTTGTAATTCACACTGAGAAGAAAATAATCCCTCATAATTTTAACCAAACAGTAGGGTGACACACGTTTCAAATTTCTAGTAAATATATCATATTTTGAAAATACATCTCCTCGTAAATACCCGACATTTCATTCAAATACAGCCCCATGTGAACGATCCACTTGAAGTTCATACCTGAACATAACTAGTTGTCCTGCTACTATGACAAAACTGTCGTCTACCTGTGACATTTACAGCGTGTGTACTGTGCGATGCTGTCACGCTCAGTTCGGGACCGTCGGTAACACACCTCACGTTTCGACACTGCTTAAATACAGCAGTTCAACAGCGCGGCACACCTTCGCGGAGTTTTAAGCAACAAAAATAAAGTTGGCATTTATTTTTTTTAATGCTGGACACTCGGGGCCGTGTTCAGACTATTTCTTTGTAGGGATACACATTTCGAAAGAAAATAACAGTCAACATTATGCGACTCGACTATCGTTTCCTCGTCACAGCTAATAAAACGCGAATAAACATTAATATAGTTTATTTATGATGTGAACGGTTCAGACGACGTGTGCTTATAATGTAAGGTAAGAAGGGATATTAACGTTAAGATGTACAAATATACTGAATGTGGGGATATTGTTGGTTGGTTTGTTGTTTAACGCCGCACTCAGCAATATTCCAGCTATATGAAGGCGGTCTTTAAATAATCGAGTCTGGACCAGACAATCCAGTGATAAATATCATGAGCATCTATCCACGCAATCGGGATCGATGACATGCATCGCGAGCCTGACCACCGATCCCGTTAGTCGCCTCTTACAACAAGCATGAGTTGCTGAAGACATATTCTTCCCCGGATCTTCACGGGTCTGGGGTTATTGTTATGATATTGAATATTTAGTCTTCGCTACCCAAAACACTGCCCAAAAGTAAGGGGCGACTAACGGGATCGGGTGGTCAGGCTCGCTGTCTTGGTTGATGCATGTCATCGTATCATCCCCATTGCGTGGATCGATGCTCACAATATCAATCACTGGATTGTCTGGTCCAAACTCGATTATTTACAGACCGCCGTCATATAGCTGAGCTATTGCTAAGTGCGGCGTTAAACAACAAACAAAACTTTCAAACAATGAAGAAAATGGGTTCTGTGGACATTCTCTGGATAATTACTGATATCTATATGAGAGACCTCATATAGACAAACACGTTATTACAAAATAAACACAGGTTTAAGAAAAATATCATTAAATTATATATATGGAAACTACACACCCATGTCCTAAGAGGCGACTAAAGGGATCTAGTGGACAGACTCGCTGTCTTGGTTGATGCATGTCATCGTATCCCAACTGCGTACATTGATGCTCATGATGCCAATCACTGGACTGTCTTGTCAAGACTCAATTATTTACAGACCGCCCTTCAGGTAGCTGGGATATTGCTGAGAGCGGCGTTGAACGACAAACATGCAGACATAGATGAGACAGTATATTTACCCCCAACATTACCCAGTGGAGTTTATATCCTCTTTATTATGGTAAATGACCACCTCCGTGGTCTAGTGGTAAAGCGTCCGCCCGGAGAGCGGAAGGTTCGAGGTTCTATCCCCGGCCGCGTCATACCAAAAGACGTTAAAAGATGGTAGTTGTTGTTACCCTGTCTGGCATTCGGCACTAAGGGGCTAAACCAAGCACTGGTCAGCTCGGAGTCAGTATACTGTGTCTGAGAATGAAGTATACTATAAATCGGCATCAGTCCGGACTAGTACAAGCAGCCACACACACAAACACACACACGTGCATGTACGTCGCTATATAAGGGCAATAATCTTGGACGCGACGTTAAACTCAATTTCTCCTTTCACCTATTATGTAAACACGAACCCCTTCGCTACCAGCTTCGTTTTGAAATCGGTAAAAATAACACAATGTTAAACATAGCCGACCAACCGCATTACGTTTATGTGCAAGAGAAAATTCCGTGGGACGTTGCTGAAAAGATTGATGAAGGTGAAGAAAGTATTGCTTCATTAAAACAAAACTATTGATTGAAATGTGTCCAGGGCATTTATCTTAATGAATAGGATATAATACCCTGGATAATCGAGGATGTCAGATTGTAGCTGATTTTGGCTTTTAACAACACTTTCCCATTAATATACTATTGTTTAATAACACTTCCTCATGGTATAAAAGCATTTGGTTTACAATGCATTCTCTTCGGCGCTTTGAAGAGGCCGTTAATTCTGGTCTTAATCACGAACAAGGAAGCAATACTTGCCCTTTCTTTTATGTGTCCGTGGTTGGTGCGTGGCCTATGGTATATGTAAACCCCGCTCTAATTAGGACCGTGCCGTAAAAGCAACTATATCCCATCCCACTAACAACGAGGGTGCCCATTATCACACGCAACTAACCTCAAATATAACATGATGCTATTGTACTCTATTTGTTTTTGTAACACACATGTAATAGTAACTCGGTTTAAATTTGACTTCGCTATATTTTCTGTTTTGTTTGTTGTTTACCCCGCACTCAGCAATATTCCAGCTATGACGGCGGTCTGTAAATAATCGAGTCTGGACCAGACAATCCAGGGACTGACATCACGAGCATCGATCCACGCAATTGGGATACGATGATATGCATCAACCAAGTCAGCAGCCTGACCACCCGATCCCGTTAGTGGCCTTTTAGGAAAAGTACAGGTTGCTGAAGACCTTTTCTACCCATGATCTTCACGGGTGGACTTATCTATACACAGAAAAACTCAGTACGTATACACGTGGCACGCAAAATCTGTGTGTCGTCATACAAGAAAAGGCACGTAGATCAACGTGTTTCACTCTTTGTTTGACTGTCCATATATGTTGGAATAAAAAGAAAGCAGCTTATTCATAAATAGTTTAAATACTTCTACATAAAACACACAAAAGAAACTAGACACATTACGTAAAATGGCTGTGTTGGTAGCCATTAATATATACCTGTTGTATATTTATAGTATGTTAATAATGTATCTCTAATGCAGAAGTTTCCGACCAGGGCCCCGTTCCTCAAAGAGATCGTAGCTGCAACTGTCTTAATTCTATGTTAAAGTATGGGAGTTACGTTCATCTTAACGCTACGATAAGTATTATATGGTACAGATCAGTGTACGACGTCACACAAGGCGCGACGTCTCGGCGTTGACACTGGCTCACCGTACCTGACAAACAGTACCTACATGTCATTCTGAAATAGGCTCACGCCACCTTACACTCCCAGGGCTAAGTACGCATTACTAAGACAAGTATTACTTGTATTCTGTGTTCAACCAACACAGTGTGTCGTATATAAATTTTGTATAATGGCTATCCTCATCAGCAAGGATATAGCTGTTTGTTTGTTGTGTAACGCCGTACTCTGTAGGACGGCGGTCTTTAAATAATCGAGTCTGGACCAGACACTCCAGTGATTGATCGAATCATTATTTACCTGTAGAGACAGGCCGCTGGAAAAATATACCCAGAATCAATAGAAATTGTAACCTATGTAGCTCACCGGCGATAGCCGACGAGTTTCATTATTTATTTAAATGCTCCTTTTTTGATACCATGAGATCACATTATATTCCAATTTATCTTTGTAAATGGCCGAATCTCGCAAAGCTCAAGCTTTTGTTTACCTCAAATAATTGCTTAATCGTGAAAAATATCTCCAGATTTATAAGAATTATTAATAATGCTGTCAGAAGATGAGTACAACACTATAATCTACAACTTACTAAGTGATCACTACAATTAATTGTTTATGTTATAACTTTATTTGTATTGTTCCTGTACCACCTATGGTGGTTTGTTGGAATAAAACATTGATTGATTGATTGATTGATATTATGCGCATCGATCCACGCAATGGGGATACGATGATATGCATCTACCAAGTCAGCGAGCCTTACCACCCGATCCCGTTGGTAGATTCTTATGACAACCATAGTCGCCTTTTACGGCAAACATGGGTTGCTGAAGACATATTATACCCCGGATCTTCACGGGTCAACAAGAATCTAAATAAAGATGACTTTATATTGGGTTATTTCATAGTTA